TCCTAGTAGCGCCGGATCGCGTTGGGGCGCCGTGGTACTCAGAGATGACACAGATGAAGGTGTCTCAAGAGGCAGGTGCAATCGGGGCGTTACCCACTCTGGGCAAACCTCTCCAGGCTTTGCTCCTGAGAGGGACAGGCTGAGACAGGGTGGATTGTCTGACAGTGTTATTCAGTCTATCCAGGCAGCTAGAGCGGGATCCACCACAGCCTGTTACAGGCCGAAGTGGCTGATTTACAGCCTGTTGGTGCAGCTCATGGTCGTCTGTGTTACTGAGCAGAGATATTATTGCAGTATCATCGGAGTACTTAATGATGACTTGATTTGGTGTGTTGGTACGACAATCATCAGTGTAGAGAGTAAAGAGCACAGCTGAACTCACGCAGCCCAACCTACATTGGTTGTGATGGCAGATGACAGGGTTTTGTTAACCTTCACAAGTTGCTCTCTACTAGTGAGGAAAGCAGCATACCAGTAAATCAGGTATGGATTTACTTCCATTTTGGCCATTTTTGACACCAAGATGTCTGCTTGTATTGTGTTGAATGCTGATGAGAAGTCTAGGAAGAGGGCTCTTGCATAGGTGTTACGTTTATCTACAGTAAATGTTTAAATTGGTATGGATCAAGTTTGTCTTGTGTTGTACTGATAAGAAATTGTTATGTCAAGTCTTGGACCTTCTCAATATAACTATAATTTAATTACAGTTTCCAGATATTGCAAGAGGCCCATGAGTCTCTTTGCTAATTATCAATGGTCTTTGCAATTAACAGCAGATGTACCCATGTTAAGTAAATTGGCAAAGGTCAGAGGAACTCCAAGAGAGGTCTTCCTCAGATATAATACAGTTAAAGTCTTGTTAGTTAGTGGTTCATATCCAGCATGCATTAGCTAAGAAACGATAAGGATGTTGGTGTGTGACATCTGGAACTTACATGTTGCTCTGATGTTGGTGCGTTCAAGTTTAGGAGACCTGACAATGTGTGTGCGTTAAACATGATTAGGGAACATGTTCGTGTGTCATTTAGGAAACCTATAAGTGTCCTGTGTTTCTGAATATTTGTGGGACCATTTCTGCGATTGGTTGCTGTTGAAGCAAGGTAATGTTTCCCCATTGTTGTTTGGTGGTGCGCAACTAAATAATAATGATTAATCTCAACTATTTCTGTGTTTGTGTTTCATTGATTCCTCTCTGTTTCATTCTTTCCTGTTGTGTGAGTGCTGGATCTCCACAACAAAATCGGAGCAGAATTCTTTCTAGTGATTTCATAATCACTGATGTGAGGGCTATTGGTCTGTAGTCCTTATGTTCCTTAGGGCATGGAATTTTGGGCAGCGGTTTGATGTGTGAAGTTTTCCATGACAGAGGGATGGGTGTGCGTGTCAATAGAAGCCTGAAAGATGGGTTGCCACACTGGAGCCAGCTCAGTAGCAACGTTTTTCAGCAGAAAACCGCTGCGCCCATCTGGCCCAGCCGCTTTCTTGGTGTTGGTGTACTGAAATGTTTTTCTGACCTCTTCGACACTGATGGTAATTTTGTCAGAGGAAGCAGGTATTATGGTTTCGAGCATTTCAGTGCACTTTGCAGAATTATCCAGTGACTCGAAACGGGTAAAGAACGTGTTTAGTTCGTTGGCAAAACAAAATTCATTGTCCGTCACAATAGGTTTAGCTGAGGATGACATTCCTGTCATGGTTTTCATGGTGTCCCATACCTTTTGGGGGTTTTTGGCTTTAAAAGCATTTTCCAAAAGCTCTCTTCACGGGGTAAGCGTGTCTGAGTGTGGGACATGGGGCACTTGCGCTCTCCCCGTGCTCCTTAGGGACCCGGGAGAGGTGGTGCATAGTGAGCCCATACAGGGCTGAGGACTCTCTCCGTCCACCTATGGGCGGAGGGGGAGAGCCCTCAGCACTGTTTTCCGAGCACACTTTTCACGAGGTAAGCGCTTCAGAGTGTGCTCTGTCAGCCGCAGCCCCGACTTCTCCACGGTTACGACCGAGGGAGAGGTGAGTGAGGCGCAGCGGCTTGTTATATAAGCACAGGCGGAGCCCTCTACTCGGGGCCCTGTCTGTCCTATGCTGCTCGCTGAAGAGAAGTAGGATGACGGGAACGGGAGGTGTGGCCGCCTTATATACGGTGGGTTTGTGCACGCATTCAGGTAGGCCAGCCCCGGGGCCGGCTACGGTTATAGAAGTCTCAGTGGATGAATGCTTGCATGATATGATCAAAGGGTAGTACCCATAGCGTCCAGTAGAGGGCTCCGCCTGTGCTTATATAATAAGGGTTACAATACATAACCCCTCATTAGTTTCGGTAATTGACATGATGGTTTCGGTAGTGACAAAATGGAATGTTAAGCAGGTAAATCCCACCATTTTGAAATAAATGTGTTGTAAAGTCTGAAAATCCGTGTGTTACTTTAAATGTCTCTTATTGTACTATTGTTAGGCATATATTATAGGTCTCAGATATATAAAAAAAAAACATGTCTATGAAGTGTTTTGCTCACAATACCAAACAGATCATGCATTCTAGCCTCTATTTCAGCCTGTTACTAAAGTGCTGATTCTGGGTCAGTATCTTCAAACATTCACACTTCAACATAAGGCACGTTATGAGTTAAGATTAAGCAATAAGGTTGAGGGAATATGATACAACCTTGAGAACAAAATACTGTGGTCACTACCGAAACACTAGATGTTTTGTAAAAAAATAAAGTATATTGAACTAAAATGATATGATACTGATTGGTTTAATAATGTATGTTCAATTTCAACAATCATCAACTCTGGAATCAATATGATCAGTATTATGCATTTTACAAAGAAAGTTTGCATTATGATTTTTATGAATTGTATAAATTGAACTTTGAAATTTGATTAAAAATTCACTTTTATTAATTTAATTGTGAAAACCCTCAAGAAATATTTGTTAAAATACTATTTAGAGAAGGGAAGGTAAAACAATCTTAACAGGTTAATATAATACTTTTTTACTACAGTGTATTTACTATGTTTCGGTAGTGACCATTTTTGGTAGAGGAAGAACATTCCAATACAGTCTGAAAATACGATATAAAAATGTACGGTTCTTTTACTAGATATGTGTAATTTTAGATATGGTACAAAATATATATGGACAAAGTTTTGGGGAAAAAACATACAAAATGTAAAAACATTTCCAACCTGACTTTGGTCCAATTCGGTAGAATGGCCCATATATGCTGTACATACATCTGAACACCCACTTATATATATAAATAAATACTCATACAGATATGTACAAATATATACACACAGGTTTAAATAATAGCAAAACAATAAATATGTATATAAAAATGACAGTCTAAGGATTTTCCTCATAGTTTGCCTATTTTATATTTTGTATAAGACATTATTTTGTACTTGTAAATGTGATTCTTGTCACTTTATATTTCCCGGTAAATCCTCTGGTTTACCACTCATGACTTAAAATAAATATAATTTTCAAATAAATGCATAAATAAATGAAAGGCATTGGATTTAATGGATTTAAACATGCCTCTTGTCAGCCAGCAGGTGGCGCTAGTAGTTCACTGTTGGCATGAAGTGCAGCTGTAGCTAACCGCAAAAGAAGAGGGCGGTAAACAAGCACTTGGTGAAAGGGGAGAGCAGTGACCTTTGGTTAAAGTGGGTTAATATTTTACCAAAATGTCTGGTGTTGGTAAGCTATCGATTTTGTGATAGGGTTTATCTCCCCCCACACAAACACGCTTAAGTTACGTCACTATAATAACGTTAGCGTAAGTCACGGTGTGACTCCCGCGCTCTGTATTTTTCACAAAATGGAGGAGGAGGAGAAGGGGGAAGCGCTGTGCAGAAGAATGATTGCTCGTGTCCGAAACCAGCAGCTGCACCCCCGGCTCTCTGCGGAGGAGAGGGGGAGACGCAAAGGAGCCAGGGGTAGGGAGATGACCGCCTGTGGGAGACAAGTTGTATCCGCGGACCAGTTTAGAGATGATGGGGAATGTAACCTCCCTCTCCCAGAGTGTCGAGGGAGAGACCGAACCTCCCCCAAATATCTCAAAAGTCAAGGTCCCGAAGTCCACACCGTCCCCCCTCAACTACTCTCAATGCTGAGGCTCAAAACTGTGAAGGAGGACATGAGACGGGTCAGGTGACTCCCCTCTCAACTAACTTCTGCCTTGGGGGTGTGTTATCGCGATAGGAAAATGCTCAGTTTTGTCCTCTTGAATGTTTATCTTGTGTGTCAGGCTATATAGTCTATGGTGTCAGGCTGCAGATGTGGAGCTCCATGATCGGCTGCCTGCAGAGTGTGTGAGCAGGAACGGGCTTCTCTGGCCTTGAGAAGTTTTATCGGGAGGAAGAAGACACAACTAAAGCTCCAAACACTGAAGGGCAGACTAAACACACACTTGAGCTATGGAGTAAGTGTTGCTCAAACTCTTAGAAACAAAAACTGCCAACTTATATCTTTTTCACTTTGACAGACCGTATGAATTATTCACAAAACTGAAACAATTATTTATGTTACAGGAGTGTGCAATGTCTCCCAAAGCCCTTCAATGTCCCTCACTGGATTTGTGAAGGAACTACTAAAGTGGTGATGTGTGGGTCACAGCAACCTGGGGTTGCCGTAGCAACGGCTAAGGAACGTGGAGTTGCCCTGGCAACAGATGAAATGAGGGGTTACCCTGACAAAAACGCTACAGGAACTCATTTAGCAAGACCTCGCTGTCCTTTTTCAGACAGATAGCTGCAGTATGATGGGCGCGGTGTTAATACAATGGATGGGACAATGTTGTGGTGGAGTCAAACATATTCCTATCTCTTTATTTGACACAATGGATAAAGACGCCCATTTGCCTGAAAAACATTAATACATATGCTGATCCTCGGCTTCACTGCTCAGCTACAGCTGTGTTTACGTTCACACTGCTACCAGAAACAAATGTCTAGCCTTTGTTTTGAGTGTAAAAAAAGAGGACATCGTAACAAGGTTAATACAAAACAGCAATTTATTTTCTTATCACTGTATTAAAGTTAAACACACAACACTTTTCAGAGCGGATGAGTCTGGGTTTTATTTCTTTTCTTATTCCACCGGTTGTCACTTGAACACTGTAAACATTAAAACAACATTGTGTTTTATCTAACTTTAATTAAGCCTACTCAATATTTTCATTGGCACAAACAAATACAAGACAGACAGCCATGGAAGCACACATGCATTCAAAAACTAATTTGAAAATACAGTACAATATCTAAGGCAAAGAACAATGGCAACATGGGGAAAAAAGGTCTGCATTTTATCAAGTTTCGTTTTTGCATTATTGCAGCTACATGGTTAGGGGTTATTAAACCTACTATAGAAGTCATACAATTACATATAAACACATCCAAAGCACAGTTAAAACAAACAGAATGACATCACCAGATCCTCCATCAATTTCAGTTGACAGTTTATGAAAAAGGTACTAAGACGACTTGTTTAAGAGAGGACTGTTTGTGGAAGTTGCCCTGAAGCATAGATCTGTTATTTCAGTCATATATTGTGAAGTACATGGCTGATCTTGGATCAGTGTTTCAGACCAGGTCCCGTTAAACTGAGGCTGAAGGTAGGGTAGGATCTACTCGTCGGGCTTCCTCTTGGGCTTCTTTGGGTTGCGGGAGCGGCTCTTGGCCTTGCACAATGGACAGATGGGGGCATTACGATGAATCTGCTGGTGGCAGGACAAACAAGCCTGGAGAGAGGGGGGGACAGACATTAAGACCTATCACTCCCTATTATGTCCTTGCAGTGTTGAAGAGATAAACCACTTATGGCGCGTTTCCACTACAGCGCGGAGCCCCGTTTAAGAGAGCTGTGACGTCAGCGGCCCGTCTTTGGTTGCGTTTCCACTTGGCCTAGTACCGGTTAGCGGGTCCTAATTCACAGTTTTTCTGGCCCCATAAAATCGTGGTTCTAGGGCCAGGAACAACCAGGCTGAGTCGGGCTGAGTATGCTAAACTAGAGAGAGAATCGCTGGCAAGGGGGCAACAACTACAACAAGATGGACATATTTAACCGTGATTTAATTGTAATGCACGTTTCAAAATGATGCCGAAGTAACAACATACTGATACCGGTTAGTAAAAACCATGAATTAATGCTTTGTCAAGTCTGCAGACAGACGGCAGGCGAAAAACCTTTTAAAATGCGTGTTTTCTAAATGGAGATTGGCTAAGCTAACGCAATATATGCTCCGACCGTCCACACTCACAACAACGGCCTATACAGACATAAATAAACCAGCGACTGTATTCACCATGACACAGGCAGTCTGTGGTTTGTACTTGTTTAACTTTTGTCTAGTTTCTGAACATATATGAGGAGCTGTGAGCTCTGAGTGCTAACAGCTAACGGCTGTGTTGTTTTTCTGGGGTTCTCATTGAAGATGACGTCACGGCTCCGCCTACACTGCGTTACTATAGATACTACCCCAGTTCCTAAACTGTAATGGGAATGCGCCATAAAGTGAGCCAGTCCTAACGAGGCCTAGCCATACCGAGCGAGGCCGTGTAGTGGAAATGCGCCATTAGTCAGATGGTTGCTCTGGGCGTCTGACTAAAGCTGCCTTCAGGTGATTACAATGTATGATTCACTCACTACGAGGTGCAGAGCATAGTACAGACACTTTTCGTTGTCAAAAAGCTAACATGATTAGCGATTTAAGATTGTAAACTGACTGTTTGCATAATAACGTACAATTTACAAGAAGGATAATGTACCTAGTTGCTTGACACTTAATAGTGTGTGTGGATTTTTTGTATGCAAGAAATGCCAAGATGTCTTCTACTTAGCTAACTGCACAATTTCTACTGCCCCACAATGCATTGCATCCGTGTGCCTGGAGAGCGGCTGTCAGTCGTGAGATTTTGAGAAAGCAACTAGTAAAATACACAATGCTTGATCAATTTATCAAAAATCACGCTTGCTTGAATGTCTTGCAGTGTGTTTTTAGAGATGTCCTGAAACCACTGGTGGCCTTGAGACCTACCCTGTGGACAGTCATGTGATTCGTCTTGATTGGTCATATTTGAGTACGGTAATTTTCTTAATATATATTGTACAACTAAGAACAGTTACATACATTGATAGTGTTTTTCAATATCAAACTTGAAAAAGTGACTTTTTTCATAGTTGCAGCCATTTTAGTTTTTCAGTAGGAGTGTTACCTTCATGGGAGGGGGTTGCTGTCTGAAGGTGGCCGTCTGGCGTGCATCTTGCTTCCTGGAGACTTGAAGCTGCTGTGCTGCTGCTGCAGCGGCGGCGAGGGATTCTGGGATGGCGGGCTCGTGCGGCTCCTTCTGCCACTCTGCTTTCTGCTTCTCAAAGTAACTGTTCAAAGAGAGAGAGAAACCGGGCTAGCTGTGATTCTTATTTAGAGCCTCTGAATCACATCGCAGTTGAGATTATCCCATCTGTGCTGTGTATCAGGAGATGTGGAGTGGCAAATAGAAAAGTAGACTGAAATTGGAGAACATTATGCTCAATCTCACATATCGTCTTTATATGTACAACTCTAGGGGAAAAGTATAGTGGTTGTGAGCAGTTTGTCTGCTCGCATGTGTGTGTCCGTGAGTGCCGAGGGCTGGGAAAGAAATTCAGCCTTGAACTTTGCCTGACTGGCCCATTTTCAGAAATACAAAGTATGATATCCCATGTCTTTACTGCTCTCGGGTTTCTCTCCAAAAAGCGGTATGATAAGTGTAGAGCATTAACACGCCATTAAACATGATCGACCAAATGTCCATGTAAGCTTATTTTTCAAGCAGCACATAACAACACACACATTTCAAAACTAATACTAGTGTACTTGAATCGATGTCATTCATGATTTTATTTAAGTTAAAATGAGCATTTCTACAGCTGTTTTTTTTATTGTTTTTGTTCTAACATGTTGAAATATTCGCACCATTTTGCGGATAAATGCTAAAATATGCAAGTTGCCAGTAGATGGACATCACTAACCAACAACAAAATACCAAAGGTCATATTTTGAGTGGCAGGTAAAATGTAATCATTCATTAGCCATTTTCAGGAGACTAATGACTTCATTTTGCACGTCACTTTCAGAGAGTATCTAAAAATGTGTTTAACACCCTGCAAGAAAGTGAAACTTTTTCGAAAAAGTACTTTATCACAGCTGACATAATTACAGTAGGCACTATAACTGTTATTTACAGGGATTTGCAAATCAAGTTTCTTAGCCACTGATAGTATCTACTGATTTCAAGTCCATATCCAATGCTTCTATTTGTTTATAATACTGCTGCACAGGGCACACTTTTAGTACATTAACTCATTCAAATCATCCGGTTTGACCTTTGAATAGCTGTATTTTGCCCCAAGAAAATCCGGCATCCAAGGTGTTCATTTATTACAAAATAAAGTATAAAACCGAATAGCAAACCTTCTCCTTAACTTTTCCAGAATTTCTCAGTGTCAGTTGTTCTTGTTGCAGCCTCTTTTAGTAACCTGAATGAACTGCGTTATGTTGAGTGTATGTTTGTATCGACTGTAAATCTTTTGGGGAAGATTAACGATTTAATTATTCTAATTGGCTTTGCCTTTCTTCATGTAACTTTCAAACATGAAAGCAACAAAAGATTTTTACACAGGGTTGAAAATAAATGCGTGCATGTAGATGAGGTCAGTAAAAGTCATTATGCTTTTAGACGATTTTATGGTGTGTGCAGTTTGGCCGTGGGCAGTGCTTAAAGCTTCAAAAGTGAAAACAGCTGTGTGACAGCTTACATAAAACAAAGGATTGGATCAGGCTGGATAGCTGAATGAAGCCAGATACCGATCAGTTAGAAAATGCCTTGATCGACCCGATACTGATGTTTGAGATTGAACCGGGACATCCCTACTTATCTGGCACCAGAAATGTGCCCGACATCAAAATCACTTTCTGTGATGAGTTCTGTCAGAGCACAGAAGAAGAATAGTGATAAGGCAGAGCTTTCTAAGAAACTCGTACATTCAGGAGGACGTAAAGAGCATACTACCAAAAGGCGAAGAGAGAAGACTAACACCTAGTCGCAGGAAATCATTGTCCGAGCTTTCACACAGGAAACAAGGCCAACTGAGCAGCCGGCCTGCAAACAATGCTATCAGCGAGCAGAGCAGCAGTGGGCCAGCCCGCGTACACTTCCTCACAACGTACCCTCTTCATTTGGAAAGAAAATAAGGATTTGCAGTGCATAAATAATTTACCACAGTAAGGAACTAAACTGACAGCCTCAACTGTGAGAAAGGTGGTCATTAAACATCTGGCCAATTTATTGTGGGAAAACAGGGAATATATTTTGGGCTGTTTGTTGAGAAAACAAACTTTCATATAAAAACGAATCTTCTACATCAGTCCTAACGTACAACAAAAAACAGACATGGTTGTTGTTCCCATTAAAAGTAGTCCAATTTGTAAATGTACTAGATAAATAAATAAACTCTCCAGTCTTAATATCATCCTCAGTTCAAGGAAGTCAGACTGTTGTTTTGCGTCAGCCCCCCTTGATGTGCGTGCAGTGTTTTGGGGGATTTCTGAAGCTTCACAGTGGATTTACTGCTCACCAGTTTCGACACAAGTGGAGGAAAAATTATGTTGGACTTGAATTTTAAAAAAAAAGGCTACAAGACCTGTCAATAAAGAGCCTTAAATGATTCAAGTTCCCTCTGCGATACCATCAAGACACTAACAACTTGTGAGTACAAAGTAAGTTAGAACATTGGGAGTTTTTAAGGCCAGCTTCTGATAGCCATGGGCCGGGGTTTTTAGATATTTGCTGTTGAGACTACTGTTGCTACGCATCAACAAAAGACGCTTGCAAAACAAGCAATGGCAGTGTCTTCATTTGGATTGGCAATCGCTGCTTTTTACTAGCTAGCTAGTAGTGTTTTATAGAGTGCTAAATGAACCCAACAACAATTAAGAATGGCTTCTGTTTGAGACTAATACAGATGGTACATTTATCGAAAGGTTAAAAAAAAGCGAGTAAGGTGTTGACCGGAGCAACCGCAATGGCAGCTGGTCACTTCTGTTACATAACAGCTGTAGTTTGATGTGTTGAGCACTTCACACTACATTTTTTGACTGCACCATCTGGGTAATATAGCAACTGTAAGTAGAAGTAAGCAAATGGAGACGCAGCAATGTCCCAGTAATTTGAGATTATCCAAATATCTCGCTGTCAATTGCGTACATTGGGGCCATGAAAGCCTGCTCAACTTTGCAGAATAAATAATTATAATATTAATATCACACAAATTGTGCAGGTTCTACAGACAACTGATGATCAGAAGATAAAAATATATTCTTTGAGTGGGAGTTTAACGGCAACATGAAAGAAAGAAAAACTCCTCTAGCCCACGGTGTCCTATGATTAGGCTTCTCATCATGACCAAAAACCATATACCTCTATGGTGGCGAAAGGAAGGGACTGGCAATTTGTCCTTGACCTGTAAGAAATCTGATCTTACCATCTGATCCAGAAATTGTCTTCAAGAACAGTCACCCCACAGCCTCATGGCCTAAAACTCCCAGTCATCAGATATCCTCAAAGTCTTTAGTCACACTAATAAACCGGCTAATAAACAACCTCTGCCATAATCTGAATCATATCCAATGGTACCACCTAAAACAACTATCAGTAAAGCTATAAATGTTGCTATTTATAATCATGTTTGCGATGACTTGTTTAGAGCACACTGTTGCAATACTGTGGGCAAAGAGCATTTGAACTTTAAGGAGTAAAAAGGCAAGATTCCCTGCTTTTTAAGTAATACAGGCTGGAAAATATGATTATTGGTCATTTTAATAAAGACAATGAATCAAATGGATATTTTTACAGAATTGTGTATTCACTGAATTTAATGGTTATTGAGATTGTACTCTTGTTTCATGTAATTTTTTGTGACTGTCCTCAAAGATGTATGTTAATATGGCCTTTAAACGTTCACAAAACACTACATTTTTTTACATATAATCAAATCGTTCTCCTAGAACTACACCTTGACTTCTAATGTATTGACAGTCAAACACTGCTTACGTTCTTAGCTAAATCTAATGACATCTGATCTAGGTTTTCCTCTCCTTCTTTTTCTAGATGATAGTCAATTTCCTTCTTGTGAGTAACTTTAGGGTTATTTTGCTCTGTAAACGGATTCATCTCAAATGTGAGACTGTTTTCTAGCCTGAGGACATCACATCAACCAAATTCCCCTTACTATTTAAAGGGGACCTATCATGCAAAATGCACTTTTGTACGTCTTTTATACATGAATATGTGTCCCCGGTGTTCCAGGGAACACACCAAGTGTCAGAAAACACAACCCTCTCTATTTTCCTCCATACCCAAATCTCTAAAAAAGGGGCTGCAACGGATCTGATAAAAACTGATCTAGATTTGAACACTGTCCTGACGTCAGGACGGTGGCGCTACGGCTATTGGGCCAACTCCACCAATCAGGAGGAGACAGCCACGGACATTGCCGTTCGAAAGCGCTGGAGACGCTGTAGTACATATGCCAGGCCTGTATGGTGCTGTTCTGCCCTTATCTGCCCTTACAAACACAGAGCTAAATAATGTCAAATTGAGCAAAATGAGGCATGGCTAAAATGCATGATCTGTTTGGTATTTTGCAAAAAAAAAGTATAAATATGCCTTATATAGGTATGGTCCTACACTATATTATTCAAATATAGCATGATAGGTCCACTTTAAATAATGAATTACCAACCAGACAGTTTACCAACTGTCCTCTGGTTGCATGTTCAGGCTTGTGTGCAACCACGAAACCCCTTCCAAAAAAAACAAAGAATAACGGCTTTGACATCCATGTCTGCCTAAATGTCATCTCTGAAATATTGCAACCGGCCACAAACTGCGCTGGCGCCAAGGCATCAAAAATGTTGCGCATGATTTCATATAGGCCTATTTGATAGCTGCTAGCAACAAATGGGGTCATGTGAGTAGTAAACTATCGTCATAAATCTTGTTAACCAAAACATTGTTAATAATAGATTTGAGCAATGTGTGCACATTGAAAGGACTGCACTATAGTGGCTCTCTTAGACATTCTGTTAATGGTTTTATTTTCCAAAGTCATTGATTACATGTGGTGTACTAAAAAGGCATAATTCTTGGACCACTATTTTTGTCTATTTCAAAGTTATACTACTTATTTTTTGTATGTACTTCTTTTTTTGTATTTACTTATGTAAATCACTACGTCCTTACATGTTCAATCATTTTGCCATGCATAGCACATAAACAACTTGTGTATTCTTGTTTGTGTATGCTTTTACATAGCATCAGTTGTTTTCTAACAATATGTTGTGAAACACTGAAATATCTTAAGTTGCTGCAATCACTTTCTAAAACATGCTACTTCAATGTCCCTGATATGCAAATGTTGCAAAAGTTATGTTTCATGTGTAGACAAGTTTGGAGATGTTTTTCGATTAAAAGTACGTGTCACTATTTGGCTTTTAAATAACTGAATCAAGAAGAACATTTTATGGGACCTAAAGGTGACATAAAACATGTATGTCAACGCACTGTTAACTGTATAAAGCAACAGCTGTACCAAATAATTTAAGTGAACTTCCTCGCATGTGTGTGTGCGTGTGTGTGCGTGTGTGTGTGTGTGTGTGTGTGTGTGTGTGTGTGTATACTAACTCCAGGGAAAGCTTCTCCTCCTCTTCGTTCAGGTTCGGGAGTCTGTGTAGACCTAAAGTCATCCTGAGGGCATCAACATGCTCCTTCAGAGGTTTGTACTCATCATGCAGGCGGCGTGTTGTTTCTAGCAGTTTATTCAGGTCATTCTCCGACTGCTTGATGGTGCTTTCCATCTGAGAGGACAGGATTGGGTATTTCAAAAGAAGAAGAAAACATGTATGGTTTTCAAGGTTGTACCTCTGGAAATAATACAGGCACTAAAATGACATTCACTATATAATTATCATGTGTTGCTCATCCAATACCAATACTCTCATTGCTGTTGCTAACGATACTCATCCAAACTGCACTTTTTCTGTGCATGTAGCACTCACCACATTGATATCTGCGTGGATAAGCCGCAGCTCCTCCACATGTGCCATTTTCTCTTGTAGAAGCAGATCCATCTCTTGTTTGTACTCTTTCAGGTGCTTCTCCTCCGACTCCAGAGATTCAAACTCAACCTTAAGACGAGACTTGATCTTCTGCATCTGCACAGTCTTGTTCCTGCAGACAGTAGCACAGACAAAGGACACCAGCTGTCAGGTTATTTCCCTTACAGATCAAATAAAGAGAAGTTTTAATTCAGTAAAAAAAAACAGCAAGATCTAAAACACTACGAATGTATTTCCTTCTGTCGTGAATTTATATAAATGTGTTTAAAATAATAAATAACTTAATAGACGCAATGCATTGTTGTTAAGCAAAATCGTCAAATAATGCAGCGGCAAATTAATGAATTAAGTGCATGAATTAATATTATGCACGTCTGTTACGCTGCTACTAAGCGTGTCTGAAAAGAAGAAATGAGTGCAAACAAACAGACTGGTATTCAGTGAGATGGTGACAGGCAGATAAGCTTGCTAGCTAAGTAGCTAGCTTACCGACCGAAACAATTAGCATTGCGCATCTGGCATTTGGCTGGTACACATCTGGAATATTTATACATGTGTCGTTCGAAAATGCACCTTAACCTACAGCTTCTTTGTATCTTTGACTTGTTTGCCCTGTAACGGTTATAACTTCCCAACCTTTTGGAAACGAGCTAAAAGTAGAATAGCAAAAACCCATTCAACACAGGGTTCTCAGCAGACAGGCTAATATTAGCTAGCTCGGTAACAAAAGCGCAGCCAAGGGGCTCATTCTTGGCCGGCTAACATTAGCTCAGATAACGTTTCTCAAGACGTGTCACACACCTGGCAACAATTCCCTTTCTTCCGCAGCCAAGTCTTACCGTATTTCCAAGATGTTTTCTAACTTGCACATTATTTCTTGTTCGTCCCCCATGGTGGTACAGTGTCTCTTCTTTCAGCTGGTCAGCTCAGTTACCCGTAAGGCCACGGTGGTCTCCTTGTTGATAAAAACACAATAGCCTTCGTGAGCGCGCACACGAGGACGCGCCCGCAGTGTGAAACCGTGGCTACGTGTGGTGAGTGGCACGGTGGCACCAGGAGCGACACTTCCCTTTTAATCCTCATTTACACAAAGATTCAAACAACTTTATTGAACATTAATATTTATGGTAACATTTAATAAGTTATGATACTAAATGGAGACTCCTGAATAGGGGACGAACAAGGAGGGAAAACTGAAAACAGAAATATGATCATATTAATTAAGGGACAATAAGGAGTAGCGTACATTTCTCTCTACTTGTTCCTTTACCCATTATGTAGGAAAGAAGTATTCAACATCCAAACTGTCCTAACTATTTGTATCTTCTATAGCGTAATCATATATATTCAGGTTATCTATAAAGGTGTCAGTACTGGTCTATAATGTTTTATATTTATACCGACTACAAACCTCTAAAACACACCTATTTAATATATTTGAACTACTGTTCATAGTGAATATACTTTAGCTTTTTTATATCTGTCATAATCTTATACCTTTACATTACATTGCATTTTACTACTTCTCTTTCACTTCTGGTTACTGCATTTCATTCAAATCAAATCAAATCAAGTTTTATTTATATAGCACATTTTTAAAACGATTGTTGGTCGAGCCAAAGTGCTGTACATGCAATAAAAACACTTTACTACAATAGCAAACAGAAGACAATAAATTACAACAGCAAAAATAAAATCACACACAGGGAAATGTCATGAGTCGTGCTCCTCTCTGACTAGAAGGCCAGAGAGAAGAAGTGTGTCGTTAGTGAGGATTTAAAAACCCCTAGGGTCTGGGCCGACCTCACATTGTCCCAGTCCTTCTGTGCAATGACGGTAAAGTTGAACTTAATATGAACAAATGTTACGAAACCCATCAATAAAAAAACAGTACTGTTATAGTGTAATGCACGGTCGTGTTACCAGAAACACTCTCTTGAAAAGAAGCTGGCAACCGGCTTACAAAACAAACACATCTGCCACACTAAAATAACTGTATGCCATTACTTATGCTTTAAACATTACCTAGGAGGATTATTAGATTAGTGTGTGTGCGTCCTTGCTGCAACTGAACACCGGTACTGGCTGAGTTATGCCGACTCCTAATTTGAGTTTCTCTACAAAAACTCAAAAATGGAAATGGAAAAATGTACAGGTGCTTTGTGAGGGATAATCAGTCAAAACCTGATCAAATAAAGAAGAAGAGTGTCCACAGTAAATGAAGTATGCCTCTCTATAACACGTGGGGCCCCTGGCTGCTGTGGGATTAACGAAGAGAGAAGTACTTGGGAGCACAATGGTCCATTCTCACTCAGTATAATCCTTGTTGGTATTGCAAGCAGTTTCATATGACTTCGCAGAGAAAAGGCTACTACAAGCACCTCTCTGAAGAAGTGTTTCGGCTACAGATTAAAAAAATACAAATGTCAACTGTAAGTAGCTACCTTTACGGTTTTATATCTTTTTATTTTCCTTGTGTTTCATGTATTTGTTGAATTGTAGTGCTTTGATGGAAATGTGTGAACCTGCTCTGTTATTTAAAGGCTCCAACAAGGCATTAGTCCGAAGTTCTTAACCATAGGAAACCATTTTTATAGCAAAACATATCATGATATCCTGCGCAGCTGCCAGATGTTTCTTATTTGTTGCATTTGTGTTCTTGTATTAATCTGTCTTGTCACATTATAGATAAACAAAACAGTAGCAAAGTAAATCTTTCTCTTCCTGTTTTTCCTAAATATTTATTGTAGTCAGTCCCCAGAGGCTTACTTAAGTACGTTATTGTTATTATTACTTTTATAATCATGATTATTGAATTAGGCACTAATATCTGCTGTGCTCTATTAATCTCAGCAAAGTTTAAGAGGGAATGGAGCCATCCATTTCTCTTCTATGCTGCTTTTTCTTTCATATTGTGTCAGTATATACCAGATATGTGTATGTGTTTTGATACTAATAATCAACATTAACGCTAAATGGATGTCAGTGTTTTGACCCAGTCGTAAATACTTCATGCATCATGGAATGCACCCCATGTTCTCAATTAAGTCTAAAATATACTGTGGGTTTAGCTGCCAGCTGTTTCTTATTTGTTGCATTTGTGTTCTTGTATTAATCTGTCTTGTCACATTATAGATAAACAAAACAGTAGCAAAGTAAATCTTTCTCTTCCTGTTTTTCCTAAATATTTATTGAAGTAGTCAGTCCCAAGAGGCTTACTTAAGTACGTTATTGTTATTATTACTTTTATAATCATGAATATTGAATTAGGCACTAATATCTGCTGTGCTCTATTAATCTCAGCAAAGTTTAAGAGGGAATGGAGCCATCCATTTCTCTTCTATGCTGCTTTTTCTTTCATATTGTGTCAGTATATACCAGATATGTGTATGTGTTTTGATACTAATAATCAACATTAACGCTAAATGGATGTCAGTGTTTTGACCCAGTCGTAAATACTTCATGCATCATGGAATGCACCCCATGTTCTCAATTAAGTCTAAAATATACTGTGGGCTTCATTTTGTGATTATAGTCCCCACCAACCTCTTGCGATTGGATGCTCCTGGTTGAACAGAAGAATGTAAGAACACTCTTTTTGGTCATATTTCTGTCAAAGAACCAAGAAATGTAGCATTATTTCAAAGAACACAACAAATGATCACAGAATTGGTAGTGCGTCTTTTCTCCCAGCTTGTCTCTTTGCATGCTCCTTGATGCTTTCCCAGTGACAAAGATGAATGAGCAGCAGGGATGAATTGTTTCCTCCTGTAGCTCAGTGTGAGTGTTTTCTCTGGCAGATAAATGTCCGAGTTACAACCATGGATGCTGAGCTGGAGTTTGCCATCCTGCCCAGCACGACTGGCAAACAGCTCTTTGACCAGGTACCCTGTGCATTACAATTAAAACAGGAGCTTCGACGTACATGTGTGTGATGGTGTTACTTATGTGTTTAGATAGTGAAGACCATCGGGCTGAGGGAAACCTGGTTCTTTGGCCTCCAGTATCAGGACAGCAAAGGCTTCTCCACCTGGCTCAAACTGAACAAGAGGGTAAGGACAATGTTTGTGTTTAACTTTACATCCCCAGACGGCATTAGTTAGTTAGAGTTGGTAATGCTACTGTGTCACTCCATTAAGGCTCATTAGCATGTATATTTCTTCATTCCGGCATCCCTCTGTTGTGTGGTTTGATCCCAGGTGACCGCGCAAGATGTGAAGAGGGACAACCCTTTGTTGATCAAGTTCAGGGCAAAGTTTTACCCTGAGGATGTCACGGAGGAACTGATCCAGGAAGCAACTCAGCGCCTCTTCTTTCTGCAGGTTGGAAGGACATTGTTTTTAAAGAGAATCCTGCTATAAAATATAACCCCAAACGATATTTGTATGCAATGAGATCGATCCAGATAAAAGGAAAGTCAAATTCGTATTCAATACTCAACTCCACAACAATAGAAATCATAACAATAGGAATCATAAGAAAATATATCATTAATGCTGTCTTGAGGTTCTATACCAGGGGTCGGCAACCTTTTTGATATGAAGTGCCATTCTAAAAAAAAAAATGTATCAGCGTGCCGACGATCGTGAATTATTAACGGGGGGGGGGGGGGGTGTTGAAGAGCTCGACGAAAACACTCGTGAAAAGTGATGTTTAAAACTCAGTTAATGGGGCTCATTCACTGGCGCTTCCACAAACAACAACCAACATAATTGTTACATTCAAATGAAGTAGCCTATATTATTCAAGTTTACATTAACTTTGGATAATAACACGGGAGAAATGAGCGGAAGCGATCTCTTTTCCTCTCTCCCCCTCTCTCTCTCTGACAGCCTGTCAGTATCTCATGCAGCTCACTGATCCAGTAATGAGTGACAGTGAAGAATAAATATATTTATAACTAGTTCCAAAGGTAGATCAAATAGCTAAGTGTGTTAGGTCTAACTCTTGTGTGTTCTGCTCCGCTCACCGGTCCGTCACAGCGGGTGGAGCTGCAGGATTTCTGCTTCACACACGTTGCATACCGCTATTTTATTGTCTTTTTCGGACACCTTAAAATACTGCCAGACTGGTGAAGCGATTTTGGCGAGCTTGTTTTGCCGCACACAGAGAAAAGTGTCATGTATGTTACGTCTCGCGATCGGCCTTTTTGAGTGGGGCTGCGTTGCGCATGGCTTCCTTCTGCAGGTAACGGGGAGACGCGCTCTGGCGGCGGTCTCGTTCAGGATCCGAAAATAAAATAAATATTTTGTACACTTATTCCACTTATTCCTAGTGTGCCACTGGTTACGGTGCCGCGTGCCATTGGTGGCACGCGTGCCAGGGGTTGCCGACCCCTGTTCTATACAGATGCAATAGGCGCGTTCACACCAAGTACTTTTCCCACAATAGTTCATGAGAACTTTAGTTCATGAGAGCTCTTTTAGTTCTGATGAACTAAAGCAGATCGCGTTCACACCAAAATGAGTTCCTGGGGGTGGATTAGGCAAATGAACCGCTGACATCACTTCTTCTTCTTCTGCTTTGGGTTTACTGGCAGGCCGCAAACAACTTCACGGCGAGTACAGTAGGTGGCGGTATGCACCTTAAAGTTGCAATCCGCCAAAAAACCGAGAGAAAAAGAAGAAGAAAAACCTCCCGCGCCCACTTGCTGTAAATGAGGCGTCTGTTTACGAAATCAAAAGTTAGCAAATCCCCATGTCATGTTCATAAAAACATTTCGTTTTAGGTCAAATAATTATTACACTGCTCTGAAACTCACTACACTAACTCCTAAGATGTTCCCTTACTATAATTAATTAAAAATATTGAACTCACAACACTGGTAATAACAAACTTAACCATTTCTCTTTCTATAAATAAATAGTGCTTGTGTTGGACGCCATTTTGAAATACAATGAAATTATCTTTTTGAAAGCCACAATAAATAAAGCTTCGCCAGTTTATAACCGATGAAACATGATGGTATCAGAATAATCACTTACATGTGATGTATAGGATGCTACACAGGTCACTGTAAAGATAAAGTGTCAGAGTAGAAATAAGCAAGCTTAGTTACATGAAATGTAAAGAAAAATGTAAGATACAGGCTCCGTTTAATCGCCATGTAGGTTCTCTTTTATTGCACACTCAAGACAATATCAATAACAGCATCACGCTGTCCCAGGTGTGTCGTATGCATGTAAATAGAAGTTAACATTTTCAATATCAAATAAAGTGTCAGTAGTATCAAAACATATATATATATATATATATAATAACAATAGATAGGCTCAGCAGCAGACACACCTTAGTGCAAAGTGAAGTGTCAGTATTAATAACAGTGGCATATATATAATCACAATAATACAAAATTAACTGTCCCAGGTGTAGGCAATTTGGGGTGAAGTGTCTTGCCCAGGGACACAACGACATGCTGACTGCAGTGGGGTTTGAACCTGTGCTCCCCTGATCCGAACACCAATGCACCACACGCCTCCCAACAAGTCATTGTACAGTTTATCAACGACGACAAGTATTTCTTTATTTTTTTATTGAAGGCCTGTTGGATTTAATCAGCTCGCTTTGCACTGCCAGAAGCCCAGCCTGAAAGGTATTTTGTTGCTCCACCTGGCGCGCCGACACCTCCACCTGGCGCGCCGCCGAGTCAGCATGGCGCTGCATCACCATGAGCAGCTGGTCGTCCGATTCCTGGGCCTTGTGTGAATGTGTTCGTCGTGCATCTCCTTGGCACGCAGGTCCTCATTCTCCTTGCTGACCATGGCACGGCAGTCCATTGCCATGATGGTGTCAAGGAAGCTGTCATCCCGTGCCCGCTTTCCTAAGCAGAAATAAGCAAGATACAAGATCAGTTTAAAGACAACATTGGACATGGTGCAGGCAGGGACAGTGTACAAAATGCAGGTGTAAAGTAGAAGATGAGATAGGATCAAATAATATCAAATAAAAAATAAATATCAAAGTGCCCTTATTTATTGTTTTGTGCTTAATGTATGCTTGAACTTTGTTTTATAGGGATTAGTGGACATCAGTTAGATGTGTAACCTTCTTTCAAGGCCAGAGTAGTTACAGTGTAAGTGGATTGACATCTAACATAACATGGCTGAGTACAATTATAACAATCAATAAAAAAAAGGAAAAATAAATATGTGCAAAAATATTAGAACATCAGTCTTTGTGGCATGCAGGTAATCAACTGTTTAAGCTTTTACCATTAACATGTAGAATGAATGTTGCAAATGACTTGAAATTATAGCAACTACAATGTATTGTTAGAGGTAGCATTATGTCCAGCTAGCATGCTAATTGCTAACGTTATATTATCGTTTTATCCCGGAGGGGAAAACTAGTTTCTAATCCAGAGAGAAACACCTCGCCTGAAACACAAGATTAGTGCCATGAGTTAGTGAAGCAAATTACAGAACATTGCACACTTATTCACAAGTCAAAACGTGTTCATAGCGGGCACGGCTGAGAATAGCTAGCTAGCTAGATGTTGTTAGCCAGCTTGGACCTATGATAGCAAGTTCTAGCATGGCTAGCTCGATCTACTGAGCAAATAAAAGTACATCTAAGACCAGTATTGTGCAGATTAAAACAGTGCAGTGCATGTATTTTATTTTACCTTCGTAGTCGTCCCGATATGACTTTGCCAGGTCTGCTAACTTTGCTGAGCCACGGAAACTGCATTCAGTAGAAGCTTCTGAATGCGGTGCTTCGCGTCCTCCGAGTAAATAGCCAGAAGCGCCGACACATCCTCATCACTCCACCGCTCCAATGATTTATTTAGTGTTGCTATAATAACTGCTTTCACAAAAGTAATCTCTTCGGGTGCGCTGCCAAAAAAAAAATCAGAGTCAAACGAGCGTGGTTGGAATTCCGCACAGCCAATCAGACGTATGAACTATTTTCTCCCACAACAGTCCCTGCTCTCTAGCAGGGACTGAAAAGCGGGTCAGATGAACTAATTTGAACTACTTTAGTTCCTGGGGCTTTTTGGTGTGAACGCAAATATATCGTAGTTCTGATGAACTATTGTGGGAAAAGTACTCCGGTGTGAACGCGCCTATGATACAAAATGAATCGCACTCAAAACAAAGTCTGCAACGTTTTAACGACCGGTGGGGGTTCCATGATGACTCACGCAGTTTCTTGTTTTCCCTCACGGAAGATCCATGAGGGAGTCCTTGCCTACAAAAAATGAATCCCGGTGCACTAAATAAACACCATAACACATAGGGTTTTTTTCTCTTTGAGTCACACCAACAATTACAACGTTGTTTACATCTTTACACAAATCCTCATAACACATAAGGGACAATGTGTTAAATCTCAATCTCAATCTTTATTTATTTATATAGCACATTTAAAACAACCTTCAGTTGACCAAAGTGCTGTACAGGCAATAACTACAATATTAAATAACACAATGGGAGTACAATAATAAAACAATAATTAAAAACATGATAAAAAGCACAATAACTAGAAACATATAAAAAACACATACAAATGTAAAAATGTAATGTTCAACTAGTATTAAACGCCAGTGCAAAGAGGTGAGTTTTTAGCTGAGATTTAAAAAGTTCAATAGACTCAGCAGTCCGGATATGTACTGGGAGGCTGTTCCACAGTCTGGGAGCTGCAACACTGAAAGCCCTGTCACCTCGGGTTTTTTTCCTGCACTGAGGAACCACCAACATATTTTGCTGAGCTGATCGCAATGCCCTAGCTCAGGGGTGCCCAACCTTTTTTTAACCGAGAGCTACTTTTTAAGTTGCCAGTCTGCCGAGATCTACCAGTCCAAATAGAGAGGCGTAGCCATTACTGACAGCCTACTACCAGGTAAATACACACTTCTACTTGTATAAAACTGACCTTTGTACGATTAATACTTCATAAAATACTGCAGATCCTTTCTCTTACCTCTTTCTAATCTACACACATACAAGTATTTAACTGAAGTTACACAACAGTGTTGTTGATACAGAGTTGGAGTTTATTCACACGTCACATACTGGTAATGTTTTCAAGAAACATTGAACAGTGCTGCCACATATGACACAGGAAAAAAAGAAAAGACACTTATATAAAAATAGTGTTGCTACAAAAGTATAAATTAGGCTTACTAATACGACAACTCAGATCTGAAGCTACACAGGAATCTGCTGCCAAAGTGCAATAAAAAAGACAAAATTAATAGAATCAAACCCTTTTTATTTTTTGCATTTTAGTAGAGCATAAAAAGAAATGCCTTTAAAATAGGATGCAAGCAACACTAGTTTCTTAACCTGAATTGATAATAGACTATAATCAATTTAAACATAACAGATCTTAATGTTTGCATTCTTATACCATTTTGTACAATAATTAGGCCTATAATGAATAAGTTCAAACAAACTAAAACTTACAGCTGATTAATAACGGTATCTAACTTGAGTTTTTATTATATCAAAAACCTGTTGAAATGCTACTGTTATTTTTACTGTCCCCAAAAAGCGCGTCAGCAGCCTCCAGGAATGCTTCTTTCACAACTTCGCCGTCTTTGAAATACTTCATGTGTTTCGCAAGAACGTGACTGACACGATAAGATGCTATGGTAGCAGCCTTGCTCTTGTTGTTGGGCTTGGTGAAAATTGACTGCTGTGCATTTAGCTGTCCTTTCAGGTCCCTCACCTTTTGGGAGCGTAGGGCAGAATTAGGAGGGAATTCCGTCTCGTAGCGTTTGTGCACTGTTTTGAAATGCCGCTCCTAAATTACCCTTCTTTGATAAAGCCACTATTGCAGATGAGACAGATGGACTTTGTATTGGAATAGATAAAAAAAAGAATCATCCTCCCACTCGGAGTGAAAATTATATATTTTGGGCTTTTTTGCTTCTGTCATAATTGTGGTCTTGTGTGTGTGCGGACTGTCACTCCTGTTGCCACGGACAACGTCAGCAAACTAGTGCCCAGTGCCACTGCCCACCAGCCACACCCCGACACATGGGGTCACGCCAATCACAAAGCTTTGATGCGTTCAAGTGCATTATTCTGGCACAGGAAGATTATGTTATAGGACATTAACGATAAAACAGAATATTGTTGTTCTATTTTTAGACACATCTCGCGATCGACCGGTCGATCACGATCGACCGGTTGGGCACCCCTGCTCTAGACAACTCAGACAGGTAATGTGGTGCCAGTCCATGCAATGATTTAAAAACAACAAGTAAGTACTTGAACTGGATCCTGTAACTGACAGGAAGCCAATGAAGATCTGCCAAAACGGGTGTGATGTGGTCATAACGTCTCTTCCCAGTAAGAAGGTGTGCAGCCGCATTTTGGACCAGCTGCAGGCGACGAATCAAACACTTATCAAGACCAATATACAGGGAGTTACAATAGTCTAAACGAGACGATATAAATAGGTGGATTAGCTGTTCAAATTCCTTACTAGGAAGATAGGCTTGTACCTTCCCCAGAAGCCGCAGCTGGAAGAAGCTTGTCTTGACAACTGAGCTTATTTGTTTGTCAAATTGAAAACAGTTGTCAACTAAGCAAGGCAATCCTAGATTCCTTATTTGCTTTTATAGGCAGGTATACCTGCAAATCATCTGCAAAGCAATGGTAAGAAATGTTATGCTTTTAAAAAATTGACCCCAGAGGTAGTAAATACAGACTGAACAAAATGGGGCCTAAGATAGAACCTTGAGGGACCCCATATGCTAGTGGGGCTGCAGCTGAAGAATACTGGCCAAGATGCACAGAAAAGGTCCTTTCTGACAGATAGGATTTAAACCATTTTAGGACATTACCTTTAATTCCAACACACAGTTTAAGGCGTGATAAAATAATTTGGTGGTCAATGGTGTCAAAAGCAGCAGACAAATCTAAAAGCACAAGCACAGCAGAATTCCCAGAATCGGCAGTTAAAATAAGATCATTAAAAACTCTTAGGAGAGCAGTTTCTGTAAAACCAGACTGAAACTTCTCTATGAGAATATGCAGTTTAAAGCAAGGTGCGACTGCAGTTGCGCTAACACTACTTTCTCTAGGACTTTAGCTTAGAAATAGGTCTAAAGTTGGAGAGAACAGAATGATCAAGGTTCTGTTTTTTTATAAGAGGCTGCACTACAGCGTGTTTAAAAAAGGCTGGAACGCAGCCTGAGGTGAGAGAGATATTTATCAAAGTTTGACGGCAGTTAAAGCTGGATTTAAAGACCGACGCCAGCCCTCCACCTCTACCGGTGGTCCGCGGGGTGCTGATGAATGAACAGTCAGGTGGTAGAAGTTCAGAAAAAGCTGTTAACTCACCAGCACGAATCCACGTCTCCGTAAAACATAAACATAAAGTCCAAATCCCGGGATTTAAAAAAGTCATTAGGCGCATTCACACCGCAGTACTTTTCCCACAAAGGTTCATCAGAACTTAGTTCATGAGAACTCTTTAGTTCTCATGAACTAAGTACAGATTGTGTTCACACCGGAATAAGTCCCTGGGGGAGGATTAGGCCAATAAAGCCGCTGACGTCACTTCTTCTTCTTCTGCTTTGGGTTTACTGGCAGGCCGCAAACAACTTCACCGCGTATACTGCTGCCCAAAGTCCCCGGTCGGAAGTCCCCGGAGTTGGGGACTGGCTTCAGTAGAAGCTGCTGGGACTCTCTGCGTTTGTGGGCTGGGCTAATGCTAATGCTAATAATGCTAATGCGAGGATAATAAAATGGCGGCTTCACAAAACGTTTTGGGAGTTTTACGGGGCGTGGTTTGCATTCCGCCCAGCCAATCAGACATAGGAACCTTTTTCTCCCACGAAAGTACCTGCTCTCTAGCAGGGATGGAAAAGGGGGTAAAAAAGGTTCTGATGAACTCATTTTAGTTCCGGCTCTTTTTGGTGTGAACGCGACATTTCGGAACTATATCGGAACTAAAGTGGGAAAAGTACTGCGGTGTGAACGCGCCTATTAAGCAGGAAAGACTTGTTAGCTAGCGATCTAGCATTGATGAGTGCCAGGCGGAGAGTAAGCTCCTCTCTTCCCGGTTTTTGAGTACAATCCAGTGGGCGAAGGTGTCTGTGATCCACGCCACCCCTGCGTATGCGCCTGGGGAAATTAGCCTGCTCCGGTAGGCTCACTGAGCGGCCATCCGGTAGACGCGGAGGAGCCATCTCTGCCTAGTCATCGGGGCAGCGTAGCATCCACTACTATTGAGGCCAGGGGCCTATCCATGTAGAGATAGCAGGTAAGCCCTGATCCTTACGGCTTCTCCGCCCCGCTTTCGTCTTGGGCGCTTCCTCTGGGGGATGGCATATACCTGGCGGCGCAGGTATGCCGGTATGCTTGAAAGAAGTGGAGGAGGAGGATTCGAGGTTGGCTCTCCTAAACATTGCTCTAATACCCCCTCCTGAAACGCTTTGATTTCCATAAGCGACTGGCGGTCGTAAACTAGTAGAGCAGAGACATTTTGACAAAAAACACAAAACAATAAAACTACTAGAACTAATAAAAGGCTAAACAGGCCTGGGAGACGTCTCGCCGTGCACACTGCTGGCGCCATCATTCCCTCTCTGGGCAGATCTGTCAGTCTTTTTTCTGTTTTAGGTCAAAGAATGCATCCTAAATGATGACATATACTGTCCACCTGAGACTGCAGTGCTCTTGGCCTCGTATGCGGTTCAGGTCAAACAAGGAGACTACAGGAAAGACTATCACGCGCCGGGATACCTTGCAAGAGAGAAGCTGCTGCCACAGAGGTGCCTATGGTTATGTTAGCCAAGGTTCATCTTAATTCCAGTTTCAGTCATTTGAATTCTAACTGGTGTGTCCTCTTTACTGATAAATCAGGGTTTTGGAGCAGCACAAGCTGAATAAGAATCAGTGGGAGGAGAGAATCCAGGTGTGGCATGAAGAGCACAAGGGATTGCTGAGGTACTGCAGTCTTACTACAACAAAAAGTTGCTAATGCATTCGCGATGACTGTTGCTCATTAATCTGCTCTGCACCACAGGGAAGACGCCATGGTGGAGTACCTCAAGATAGCCCAGGATCTGGAGATGTACGGGGTCAACTACTTTAACATCAAGAACAAGAAAGGGTCAGAGCTGTGGTTGGGAGTGGATGCCCTGGGGCTGAACATCTACGACAAAAAGGATAAGTATGTCGCACTTAAAAAATGTCCCCTGAAATGTCTTGTTGTAAATGAATGTATGCTTCCTTTGATGCTACCTTTGTATGACATTCATAATCCCCAGTGGATAAACTACTGAGTTGAATTATCCCCTGACCTTACATCTAACATTACAACAAGGTTAATCTCGGAATACATTGCCATTTAGGCGACGAGTCAGCCTCTAGGGGCAATATTTAGGGGGGTAAAAGCAAAAAAAGAGATGTATATTTGTGTATGTTTCCGGTCTATCCTCCAGATAATGGTTTCATATCACACATGGCAGGCAGTCACTTTCTCGTGGTTGTTTACAGTCTGATTTGCAATTAGAGATGCGAGAATGGAGTTGAGAGGTAACGCCTAAGGCTCATCTCTTTAGAGAAATTAGCAAATTAATGTAGATAAATAAATTAAATATGTTCCGAGACTGCATTGTGGCCAACACAATCAGCCTATTCAGCTATCCACACTGACTGTTTACCTGAATGCCCCCAAAGAACACTCAATGGACACCAGAGCACTTCCAATACCAATATCCTGTCTACTTGCCTACATATTCTACTTTGAAATGATCTGTTGAAAGAGATTACAATTAGGTTGACAGTTTTATTTGTAAAATGTCAACAATCGTAGGTCAAAAAATGTGTTACAGATATTCATGGTCCCGTGAGGATGAATCTTAATGACTTTGGAAATCACAGGACTTTTCCCTTGGTACCACAATTAGGTAGACAACTGTATTGTAATTACATTTTGCAGAGAAAGTCATGGTGCCCACAGAATGAAAAGCTCATCTACATTTACAATGATTACATACTAAACTAAAGGTGAACCAGCAGAGAGTGAATGCAAAGTCGCTGTGAGTATGTTAGGCTTCAGCTCACAGTAGTTCTGTACCTAACTACACAGAGTTGCTAGCTTGGCTGTTTTAAGCTTGTTTAAACTTTGTAAAGAACATGATAACCTCTGTTTAATATACCACAGTGGTAAACCCTGAACATATTTTACAGGATGACCCCAAAGATTGGCTTCCCCTGGAGTGAGATCAGAAATATTTCCTTCAACGACAAGAAGTTTGTCATCAAACCGATGGACAAGAAATCTCCGGTATGCAAAACATTATTATTAGTGATTTATCTGCAGCAGCTATAAATCATACGAAGCATGTTATTAAATGGAATTCAACACAGCTAACATTAGCTGGCAGACTATTTTGTGGAAATTGCAGTTTTTCCAACAAACCTTAATTTAGCATTCTTGTGCAATTTGATAGTATGTTATTTGCAAGTTAATCTTAGTTAATTTATTTATGTTTTTCGAAAGTATTAAATACGAGCTCTTTCTCCTGTACTTAAATATTTAGTACTCTTATCTTAGTATTTTTTCATGATACATTTTAAAATCTACAAGATCCTATAAGTACTTCTTCAGATATATGCCCATTCTTATCTATTCACTGTGGCTAAAAACATGAGATGCGAGAGAATCTCTTGTACTTAATGACAAAATAACCAATTTTGCAAATGCAGCTGCTACTTCGTCTTACTCACAAACATGAAATGTGCATCCCATTACAATCTGCCTGCATACACAGACTTGAGGAAATCATCCAAGAGTTTAGGAAATAAAATATAACTAAACTATCCCTTCAGGTTTTGAACCCGTTCTTGACTGTGAAACAGATGTGAGATGATAATGAAATGGAATAAATAACAGATTTTTGCATTTAAGGATTTTGTTTTCTACGTGCCTCGTCTCCGCATCAACAAACGTATCCTGGCATTGTGTATGGGGAATCATGACCTGTACATGCGTAGACGTAAACCCGACACTATCGAGGTGCAGCAGATGAAGGCCCAGGCCAGGGAGGAGAAGAACAAGAGGCAGAAGGAGAGGTAAGGAAGGGAGACATAATAATGAAGGCTTATTTTCCTCTTACAGTTTACAGTGTGTTCTCTCTGCTTTAAGAAAGAACTGTCAGGAGAGTCTTTTTTTCAGATATGTATTTATGCACAATTCTCCTGTCAGGGCTCTGCTGGAGAGTGAGAAAAAAAAGCGAGAAAATGCTGAGAAGGAAACAGAGAAGATTGCTCGTGAGACCATGGAGCTGATGGAGAGATTGAGACAGATTGAAGAGCAGACAAAGAGAGCTCAAGATGGTCTGACAACTTTCTGAATTAAAATGTTTCTCAAATTTTCTGTTAAAGAACATGAAATGAATGACTCAGGATATTTTAATCTTTGTGATTTTAGGTTGTCTACAAAGCCTATGTTACAGGAGCACGTCTGGGTATAACGATTCTTCTGCGGACGTGTGTTTTTCAGAGCTGGAGGAGCAGACTCGCAGGGCTCTTGAATTAGAGAAGGAGAGGGCAATCGCTCAGGAGGAGGCTGAGCGACTGGACAAGGAGCGCAGAGCTGCAGTGGAAGCTAAAGCAGCCCTGCTCTACCAGTCTGAACACCAGATCAAGAGCCAGGAAAGCCTGGTACTCACAAACACAAAACACACCTGCATGCTGGGTGTAAATCAATTCCAATTGTATCGAGTCATTAAAGGTCCCATGTCATGGCCATTTCTACTGATCATAATTCCATTGTTGAGGTCTACTAGAATAGATTTACATTGTTCAATATTCCAAAATCACATTGGTTTCTCATACAGCATCTCTGTATAGTATGTGTATTCACTCTCTGTCCTAAACGGCTTGTTAGGACAAGCTTGCTAAAAATAAAAATGAGGCGTTCTGGGGCAGCATAGACAGGTCTTTTCTGTGTTAGAGTTTTACTCGCTACAGGGTGTACTTTGAGGGTTTGTGACTTTGCAGACCGTTTACATGCATAAAAAGCTACATAACACACAAGGGGACGGGTAATAACCAGAAAAGCATGACATGGGACCTTTAAAAGGTGGCTTCACTCCAAATCTGCAAAAACTGAAAAACTGGTAGCTGTAAAGTAATTAACTCTGAGACCTATTTACATTATTCCCACGGTCAAGGACTCATTCAGTGATATCTACATATATTGATCACCTCTTAGATAGAAACTGGAAATGTATTGATTCCCTCAAGTGATTTACAAATTCAGTTTGAATGTGTATTTGAAATTATTCACATTTTTAGCTGATTGAACAGAAAGGAAATTAAGCAGAGCCGTGATGCTGCATAACATGATTTTGCCCGCTCAGACACACACACTTTCTCTCCGATACACACATTCAGACAGAACACGATGACCTGAGATCAGGAGCACTCTTAACTCTCTTCCCATTTGTGTGCGTGTGCCTATAGGCCACTGAGCTGGCAGAGCTTACTTCTAAGATCTCCCAGCTGGAAGACGCCAAGAAGAAAAAGGATGAGGAGGCGAATAGTTGGCAGAAAAGGGTGAGAATTAATCAAAGAACCGTGAGAGAGATAAAGGCTGAATCAAACATGAGCAAAGTGGGATGTCTGACACCTCTGAGTGTTAGGCCAGGGCGAAGAAGCAGAAGCAAGGCATCGACTGCGGACAAATATAACTGTCAACTTGCAAATTGTGATTCTTTTTATGGGTTCCACTGCATGTCACAGGTAGCAAACCTCAGACCTGTTACGCCATAGTTGGCAAAATGAAATCATTAAATGTACATTACATATCTTAATACAAATATGTAGAAATGTATTGAAGTTACGTCTGCAACATTATATGGTAATACTACAGTTTTACTTTCCTATTTTTAAGCACCAAAAGAGCCAATTACATGCAATGCTGAGAGACCACTTTAAACAATTATTCAGAGAAAAGGTGTATTCTTTCAAACTGAGACTTCTTTCAATAGTGCTTTAAGGTGCTTTAAGGTAAAGGCAAAAAGGCACGATGTCAGATGTCACCAAACACTATCCAGTTGTCTTTTTGTTCCCAATACAGAGCTTAATTTATTTCAGTGTTGTAGTCAGGGACGGATTTAGTGATTTGGGGGCCTAAGCCATCTCTTCACCCTTTTTCTAACTGGAAATGTTGGTATTGACAGTGGTAGAAGAAGAACTCTAAACTTTTTTTTCTGAAACAAAATGTACGTTTCTCAATGTCTTTTCAAGGTGGAGCTTTCGATTAATAATAATGCATTCTTTTTGTGTTGTTATATCTTGTGTGTAAATCTGATTCTGCTTCGTAACCCATAACGTTTCCATAGTCTCCATAGACATAGTCGGATAAATATAGTAATAAAATGTTTTACTTTAAAGCAAAAGAAGGCTTACACAGTGAGAAGTGTGTTTAGTTGCATTTTGTAAGTGCATTGGGAGCCTTTTGTAAGAATAATAGATCTATAGCTTCTTAGGGCCTGAGTCAGTTTTCTACCTTAAAGGGGACCTATTGTGCAAAATCCACTTTTTCATGTCTTTTATACATAAACATGTGTTCCCTCTATGTAAAGAGATTCTGAAAGTTTCAGGAAAAAAGATTCACTCACTTTTTGTCCTGATCCATTTATATAAAAACCTGTCTGAAAATGAGCTGATCAGATTTTGGCCACTTTATGATGTCATAACCAGGGGTGCACATAACTTTTTGAGTGAGTTACTCAGATGAGTACCAGGAGACAGCGTTTGGTACTCACCCCACACGAAGCGTGGTCCTCCTCAGTGTCTCCTTCACTGTCCTCTATTTACACTTCTTGCATGATAGATGATGAAGATGATGAAGATGCACCTCCCTGTCTCTTTTTAAGCCTCTGATTTGCTTTCTCCAAAACTTGTTGCCAAAACTGTGAAGTCCTTGCATTTCCTGAGGCCAAGTTGAAGGATCACATACTAAGAAATTATCACATGACTTGAAGTCGTATCTGATTTCAGATGTGGGAAGTTACTAAGTACACTTATTCAAGTACTGTACTTAAGTACAATTTTGAGATATTTGTACTTTACTTGACTTTGATCTAATTTGTAAAACTAGCTGCACCTTTATCAGCTTTGATAACACTTTAATGATCAATCATTACAAAACATATCATATATATTATTCTGAAATGGACCAATCTGCACAATGACTACTTTTACTTTTGGTACTTTAACTATATTTTGATGATAATACTTTTCTAATTTTACTTGAGTAACATTTTGAATGCAGGACTTTTATTGTAACAGAGTAACACTCTGGTACTTCTACTGTTACTCAAGTACAAGATCTGAGTACTTCTTCCACCTCTGTCTGATTTCAAACTCTTCCATATCACCCTGAGTAAGTTTGCAACTGTGTGTTTCACTCCACTTTGGTGTAAATAAAACTGCAGCAGCTTGACCACAGAGCGTGAACGTTGTGATCAGCTGATTTTGCGCAGTTCTCCAGTGTGTGCGCGGGGCACAGAATGTGCACAGGGGAGTCTCCCACTGCAGCCAGTTGGCTGAGTTTTGGCACAATTCTGTTGTTCATACCGACGTTAACCCTGTCTGTGCACACGGCGACCAACTCTGTTGTCCGGTGATCTAAGCCTCTGCCTCCTGCAAAGCTTCACAGGTCCGTCGGTTATGTCCTGCGCGGCTCGGCCAGCACCACGTTCAGTCAGTCACAGAAAGTCCGAAGATTTTTTGCAGGGAGCGAAACGGCAACGTAGCTGCTTAATGTCTTTGGGTTTTTTGACATGTCTCGTATTTTACTCCATTGAGTGTTGACAAGAAACACGTGTAGACGAAATATGTGTTTTTGTTTTGATGTACGCAAAGGCGCGTAGTGACACAAGTGACGTTACGCAATTCAGATTTTTGCCGCGCATGCGTACCTGCGTACCAGTTATGTGCACCCCTGGTCATAACAATTATTTGGCTTGTGTAACCATTAGCCAATAACCAACTAAGGTTACCCCCCCCCCCCACCTTATCACCTGAACATCTTCCTAGAGCACCATTGGGCTCTTTTTAACCAAATATCTCTCAGAGGGGCGTGGGGAGTGGCTCCTTATTTTCATCTAAAGTAACAGACAGAGAATCAGCACTTTTGAAACAGGGCTGAAACAGAGGGGATTATGGGATGCTGCAATGGGTGATCTGTTTTCTATTTGGAGCCAAACACTTCAGAGACATGTTTTGTATATATCTGAGACCTATAATATATTGATGAAAAACAGTATAATAGGGGACCTTTAATGGAAATTCTGCCCCTGGTTGTAGTACAAATCAAATTTCCTAGAATACATGCCCACGTGAATATCACATTTTGAAACAAATCTAGTGCACTTTAACATCTAAACACATCACTTCACTGCAAGTGGTCTGTTTTGACAGGCGATGGTGGTAGAAGCTGATTTGGAGCGAACCAAAGAGGAGCTGAAGACTAAACTCATGGGTGTCCAAATCCAGGATTCTGTCCAGCCTCCCATGCACGAGCACGACGAGACGGACGAGAGCAGCGCAGAGGCGAGCGCTGAGCTGACCTCTCCGGGCACGGTTCGAGATCGCAGCGAAGAGGAGCGAGTAACAGAGGCGCAGAAGAATGAGAGGCTGCAGAAAAACCTCAAGGTAAGGTTAAGCAAATTCTAATCAAATTACCTATTTAATGGATTTGCTATACTCTTACTTCCCTTCAGGGCAGAGGTCATGTTCAGATACAGATTAGCCGTCCCTTGGCTGTCTTAAAGCTTCTAAACCTGCGTTCTATTGCATTGTCTTACTGTCAGTTGGACTGCAATATCTCAATGACAATAGGATGGATTGCCATGAAATTGTGTACAGGCATTCATGGTCCCAAGAGGATGACCCCCTCTGACTTTGGTGATGTTATGACTTGTCTTCTAACGCCAGCAGCACATTAAAAGTTTACATTTATTGTGAAATAAATTATAATAAGCACACATTTTGTGTACTGACGTTCATAGTCCCCAAAATGAATGGCATACCACTTTTGTGATCCCCTGACCAAAAAGAAAATATTCTCTTTTGTCATCATGAGGTTGACAATTTGACAAAAATATCTGAAATATTTGATGGATTGCTTTTAATTCTCTGACTTTTCATCTAGCCGGTCTAAACTACTGTAGTTCTCATCGTCCTAATGTGTGAAATCCTGATTACAAAATGTCAGCATTCTAACAGACCAACTGAAGATTGTGTGCCTGATAAATATAAACTGGCAAACATCAATATGATATCATTGTCCGTGTGAGCGTGTCAGTATGCTGACAGTGTAGCATTGAGCCCTGATGTGCCTAAATGCAGCCTCACATATCTGCTGGTTTGCCAAAACAAGATATGATGTTGCATAAAGGACTCAACACAAAACTGGACTTAATAACTGTGCACAAAAGGGTGTTTCCAGACGGGGATTGAGGGGGGCACAGGGTTGAGGGAAAGGGGCAAGGCTCCTGAATAGTCTCCGAAAGAGTTTCAGGAAACAGGATCTCATTCACTCTGTTTTTGTGTTTTCCTTCAGTGCCTGAGCATCGAGCTGGCTGGAGCTGTAGACGAGAGCAAAAAGACCCCAAATGACCTGATTCATGCTGAGAATGTGAAGGCGGGTCGCGACAAATACAAGACCCTACGTCAGATACGTCAGGGCAACACCAAACAACGCATTGATGAATTTGAGTGCATGTGAGAGGGCCCGATTGAAGACAAGATAAGGATAGATTAAGAAATTGGACACATTGACAGATTTTAGAAGTAGGTCCAATATATTGCGTAGATAGAATATTAACCTGACATGACAGATCAAACATAACAGCAAATTATATTGTCCTTGATTTCAATGCTGTTTCATCTAGAAATAAGTCAGAAGTGACAACTGTTGAAAATGCATTATTAATGACATGGGAATAAAAAACACATCATGGTCCATTTCAGCGTTGCAAAACTAACATTATCTATGCTGTCATTTATGAAAAGCTCTGCTGTTGTCCTTGTCAATTGTACTACACACATTTTGAAATGCCAACTAATGAAAACTTTAATAAAATTGATTATTAAAAAACAATGGCATAAAAGCCACATCCATCTAAATGTTAAATTATGTATTCTTCATCACGTAAGTAAAATGCACAGAAACAATTTCAGTGTGTTGTTTGTGCAAAACGGAATTACACTATCAATTACTTTGCTGTGTCAAATGAGACGATCTTTTCAAAAGCTTATGAGAGAATGTGACATGCATCCCAAATCTGGATTTGTTTGCTAGTAACTAAGCGAACAACCACATGCTGTAGCCTAACTAAGAAAAGCTCTACTATAGAGCTTAACAGTGAGGTACTGTTATTGGAAATCCCATTACATTCTGAATGAAAGATTTTCATTATGAGCAATGTTGTAACCATCCAATGGTGATTACTGTTTTAACCTCAATGTCAAGTCTCAATGTAATCAGTCTATCTAATGTAAATAAACATAGAATAAAATATGATTGATTATGTGAAAATAATCTTTCTCTTGCAGTATGTTGTGCTTTGAAGGCTTATTTAATCCATTTCTTGTTCCTGACATCCTCATCCATCACATGCAGACTATTAGACCTTTCATTGACCAACGGTATATACAATTATATTTATTTTGACGTCTTTCAGAAAAGTCAGTGATTGTGCAGGATAAGTTGTATTATATCGAACAACATTCACCGTGTAAATAAGGCAACCGAATACAAACAAGCTCATGTTTAATTCCCACAACATACTGAGAAAGAGAATATTACAATTTAGAAAATCCAATTCTGAACAAACATGTCAGCTTTAGGTGAGAATGTTTCTAAAGAAGCCTGTCATGATGTGGCGATAATTTATCCTTGCTATTCTCACTCACGAGACCTAAACATGCCAGAGTTCAAAGACAAGTTACAAAGTTTTAATCGTTACTTATGGAGCGAGTTTCTGCTCTGCCCCCGAGGAAATACAACGGAGCTTTGTAAACAAAGAAAAAAGGCGATAGGAAACAAGTATCCAGCCCTGCTTTCATTCGCGGAACAGCTCGGCGGGACGTCCCTTCCCAACACCCTACGTCGACAGACCGCTGCTCTGTATTATTTCCCTTTCCGCCGACACATATGACCGGAGTCTCGCAGGGTAGGCGTTTTCTCGCCTGAAGTGCGTTGTTTTATTTTGTTTCCCAGTGTAACCAGCACACTGCTCACACAGTAGGCTACTGTCTTGACGGGAGCGGAAGATGGCCTTTCGCTCGAGCTTAGAAGAAATATCAAACTCTTTAATAAACAAGCGCGTGGACACTGCGGACACCTGTGCTTCTTGCCCAACTACCGCTGAGCTAAGTAAGGCAGTATCGGTGTCACTGGGTTTAGACTCAGTGTCCTCTCCGCTTAGCAACATGAATCAGTGCTCCGGCAGCAGCAGCAGCATATTCGCAGACTTCCACCACACCATGGAGAGTAGTAGTAGTAGAGTTCAGGAGTTACAAACGGCTCCTAATGTCAACTCAGACAGGCTTCTATTACGTGACACTGCCCTTAAAGACGACTTTGGAGAAGCGTGCCACGGCATTCAGCAGGTGAGCTGCATGGATCTGCTCACATCGGGGGACATGGACAGCGCGCAGAACAGGGCGCGTGACCCTGTGTTATCTGGGTATGTCTGCAGGGAGTCTAACCTGTTCATGAACCCGCAGGAAGAGCTGCCCGCGCCCTCTCAGGTGGAAGAGATGTTGCCTTTGATACCATACTCTGCGTACTCCGCAAATCCGAACCTACACAGGGACACTCCGGGAGCGTGGTGCGCCCGAAGCAACCGATCCGAGCCGGAGAGGGGCGGTTTAAGCGGACGTAATTTGTTGTGCAAATACTGTAACTGTGGGCCAGCATCTCTCGGATCCATGCAGGAATGCCACTGTCTCTGGTACAACAAGGAGGACAAAGGTGGCATGCGAGCAGCGATGGCACACGGCTATGGCCAAATGGAAAGTTACCAAAGTGCAATTCCTCAAGGACACGGCACTCTTTCCACTATCAAGACTGAACCATCTGTTTGGCTGGATTGCTCTGATCGCACTTTTAGGTAAGTACGTTTCAATGATTTGCTTTGACTTGGTTTTTGTTGGCATAATATCGAGAGTGCAATTATACTGAGGGCTTCATTCTGTCCACCCAAGTTCATCTTTTTTTTGTCAGAAATAAAAGGACAAATGCACCGTGAACATTGTGTAGTGACCATGCTTTAATCTGCCCAGTTGTTGCATGTTGCTTTGTTTGATTTTTAAATAAGGGTTATGAACTTGATCCTTTATTAAATCCATTGTCTATAGCTACAATCTCCTCCTGTTCTTCTTGATATTTATATATAGAGCTGCAGAGGATTTTTGGACATGGCTGCACAAATAAATAAAATCCACCCAACATTGCATTATCCTCTGCTATGCCTTATGCTGGTACCCAGTTGTGCTGCAGAGACAGCTGTGTAATCAGCATTACATTATTTGGGCTCTAACAGCCACATGTGCTCATCTCGGCCTTGGTCAAGTTGTGTTTTAGTGTTTAGCTAGACTGAATCAAAGTTGACCTTATCCCTAACTTGGACTGTGCTGTGACTAACTACATAAAATACCACTTAATATACCACTGTCACTGTAAACAAGAGATACAGCACCTGTTGCTGCATCTGGCTTTGAATAGAAGAGAATGTCCTGATTTTACTGCCCGTAAAAAAAAAATCATCGAACTTTGCTGGTTAATCACAGATGTGCCTCACTTGTTATGTAATCAATCATGGAATAGGGAAATGTTTTATAACTGGATTGGATTTAGGGAATTAGTGCCCTGAATGTCATAACAGGGAGCCATCTCTGAGACAAAACCTAGTGACCTAAATTAACTGCTAATACGCCTAGTTTGACTGTCTGCCTTTGTTCATGCTATTTGCAACTGTTAATGATGAAACCATTTAAAAAATGCAGAATCTGTGCCCACTGGTGAATCCTTTCTCTTTCATATGTTTTTTTATGTTTTATGTGTCCAGGCATGAGGATTTGTTCCCAGGTGTGTATCTGTCGGACAGGAGAGTGTGTCAGGTTTGCAGCGACGAAGCCTCAGGTTGTCACTACGGAGCCGTCACCTGCGGCAGCTGCAAAGTATTCTTCAAGAGAGCCGCTGCAGGTGGGTGCGACACCAATTTAAACATACACGAGTGCACACAAAGACACCCACAATCACTCGAGCGCTGATTTAATTTCTTACGCCCACTCGTTGGTGCATTCAGGCAGGGCACAGTGACCTTACATTATGAGGGCGAGTTATTTCATGTTATCAGTAAACACCCACATATCAGCACTATGAGTGGAAGCCGAATCATTGTTGGAAACACTCCCTCATCCCCCCGAAACTTTTCTGTACCACCAGGTAAGCAGAACCATCTGTGTGCCAGCCGGAACGACTGCACCATCGACAAGCTGCGGAGGAAAAACTGCGCCTCATGCCGTTTAAAGAGGTGCTTCATGTCAGGAATGAGCCTCAAAGGTGAGGGACTAAATATAAAATCCCAAAAGAGAGACTGAGCATGGAAAGTATGAGGGATTTTCATTTGAAAAGAGGGTCAGGGTGGTTAGATAGCTTGCATGCATTGGATCAGAGCTGACTAATCAAATGTCCCTGCTTAAATACAGTGTAACAAATTTGTTTCAGAAGAGCTTTTTCCTGGCCTTGCCCCTCTGCAGTGATAAGGAACAGAATCTGGCTTATACTCGTTTCGTCTTTTTTCCCTGATTTGCTTTTATTTATTGTGTAATAAATCAGACAAAACAACGTATAAATGGAGACTTGTTATCTCCTTTCGTCCCTGTTTTCTTCTCCTTGTCTAGGTCGTAGGCTTAAGGGAGCCGGACAGCCGAGGAGCGGAGAGGAGGAGCTTCCTCCGGCTCCCTGGGGAAACAGAGATGCCATCTTGAAGCCTGGAAGTGCAGCTGTAGCGGCTCAAAGTGAGGATAAGTGTCTCATCAACTCCACTTAACATAGTTTTACTTGTAATGTTACTTTAATACTCTTCTTCTGTATGTCTTCAGTAGCTTGCCTGGCTTCAGGGATTCCCCCAAGCGTGCGCTCCTGCCGCTCCCTGCTCAGCGTCTTGCAGGCCATCGAGCCGGCTGTGGTCAATGCCGGGCATGATCACGCACAGCCAGACAGCCCCGCGTCCTTGCTCACCAGCCTCAATGAGCTGGGGGAGAGACAGCTGGTAACTGTGGTGCGCTGGGCCAAGGCAATACCAGGTAAATCACTCTGGGCCAAGGTTGACTTGTACACGAGTCAACACCACATGTAGGTGTTTTTAGTTGGTGTGTCCAGACAGATTGTATTGTTTTAGGCTTAGCAAAACCAGCGAGGTCACGCTTTCTGAGCAAGATAGGGGGATAACACTGAGAGGTACATTCAATTTCCCAGTAATTTACATCGTCAGGAAATGTCTGATATCCGATCTTATATTTGTAATCTTGGGGCAAGGCCACGACATCACCAGATGGCAAGCCTCGCCAGGATTTGATGCACATTGAACACGTTTGATGAGCCAATCCCTTCCAAACCTGTTCATAAATAGACCACTAGAGGGGGATACGCTCATATCTATGGCAGGGTGGAAAAGGCAAACACTGTATCCACACTGCTGTGATTCTTCTTTTAATTAGTATGAAGTGTTGATATCTATTCAACTGAACTGGGTAGTGTGATTTCATGATGTGCAGTTAATAAAAAATGTGTTTTTTACAGGTTTCCGTGACATGCACGTGGATGATCAGATGTCTGTGATTCAGTTGTCATGGATGGGGGTGATGGTGTTTGCGTTGGGATGGAGGTCCTACACACTCACCAACAGCTCCCTGCTCTACTTTGCTCCAGACCTGGTGTTCAATGAGTAAGTAGTGAAGAAATACTTCAACCAAAGTTCTGATATTGTTTTCAAAGAATGGAAGTTAGAAGAAGTTTGTCATGTCGCAGTTTCTTTAGCAGACAAATAAAGTTTGTGGCGGCCCTTAACCGCTGTAGTAATCACTGTGACATTTGGCTTTGTTGGAATACGAAGAGTTTTCACTTGTCACCGTGATGGGAAAGAAAAGCCACTTAGGAATACAAGCTTCAGAGAAAGATGTATAACAAATAACACGATGAACGGCGTCTTTTTCTAAGCGAGACAGTAAACAAGTCTGTTGTGTTCCTACATTTCCCTTTGCGTCTGATTTACGTGGCCGCAGAGGGATCACCTCAGATGAATTATTCGGTTTCATCTCCACGAAACCATCAGTCCCCAAGAACTTCAGCGGTGTCGCGTTTTTTTTTTTCTTTTTTCAATTTGACAAGTTCTGATTCGCGCCGCAACCTCCTCCAGCCTTTATCAAAAAAATAATTCCTGACACCTCAACTCCTGCTTGTTGTCCTTTCTCTGTACTTTCAGCAAACTTCACGCAGAGTTTTGAAATTAAACGTTGCACTTAATAAAACAGAAGTAAATTACCACCCTGCCATTTCTTATCAGTAAATAGCTTTCCGTTTTTGAACGAGCGTGTCGCTGAGTAAAACCAGCCTCGGGCCCTCAGAGCAGCTTTCACTTCGTGCGACATTAGCAAAACACTCATTCCGCCTGCATTAGACCTCTGTCACTCTCTAGGGCTGCTTCTGAACTGCATGGAAATTGATACGCCTGCCCTTGTTGCTGACCCTCATTTTCCTCAGGCTCTACGTCGTTCCCTTTTCCATTATCCAACTCACTCATTTTATTCTCACCTCTGCTGCTTTTTCCACCTCGGTGTCAATTAATTGTCTTCCGTCTTTTCTTCCTTGTCTGACGCTCTCTTTGCCTCCTCCTTATGTCGCACCCGGTGCTCCTTCTCCTTCCTCTCACTCACATCGTCCATTTTTTGTATTCCCCCTGCAGCCAGCGGATGCAAGTGTCCAGTATGTATGAACACTGTGTGAGGATGAAGGTGCTCTCCCAAAGGTTCTGCATGCTGAAGGTCACCCAGGAGGAGTTCCTCTGCATGAAAGCCCTGGTCCTCTTCAGCATCAGTGAGTCCGCTGGGAAAAAGGAAATAATACGTTGAATGTCATGTCGAGCAAGTGAAATAAGAGTATAATTGAGTTCAGCCATTCTTCTGGGAATTGATGGGATGGATAATGTCCGTGAGATTTATTGTTGTGTTCTGGGTTTGTGGTCACAGTGCCAGTGGAGGGCCTGAAGAACCAGCGTTGTTTTGATGAACTGCGGACCTCCTACATAAAGGAGCTGGACCGCTTGGCGAGCCACCGCGGAGAGACCACCCGCACACAGAGGCTGTTCCAGCTCACTCAGCTGCTGGACTACCTCCAGTCGGTAATACACACTATTCTACACGTATATGACGAGGGAAAAGTCAACAGCCATTGCGAAATCGAACAAAATTAAAAACAGTTCAATCCCAGAATAAGAGTCAGGTTTATTGCCGTCATAAACATAGCGTGAGAAAAGTGTTATAAATAAAAGAGAAAATAGAACTATTACAAAAACGACTATAAAATATAAAGACATGTTAATAAGAAAACTACAAGAGAAGCACAACAACAATGAGACGCATTACTAAGAAACATTTCATATTTGCTCACTTAAAATATTATGACTGGTCTTTTATAGTTCTATATCTACTCTGTCGAGGTCTGGGGAAATACATAAAAATCACAAATGTAGTTCTTATACTTCAGAAGGTCATAACATTTGTTAAGAGAGCTGATGATCATGAACTAACCAAGACTGTAAATTATAAGCTTACCTGCTTTAAATGTATGGATGGACTTTCAAACTTGCACAATTAATGTATAAAGCAACAAACTGCAACATGCTTCCAGACTGCATCCAAAAGTGGTTCCAACTTAGAGTCAGTCACCAGTAACTAAGGGGAATTTGCAAGTTAAACAAATTAAAGATTGGACGAAATGCAAAACATTTTCAATAGTAATGAAAAGGAAATTCAAATTTGGGATAAACTTGAATGATTTAAACAATATAAAATAATAATAATAAGAGGATAAACAAAGCTGAAATAATACAATTGTGTAAATTAATTTTTAGTTTGGACTTTTGGGGATTATATCTAAATGTAGTTTTTTCATTTTCAGTGTATACTATTAATGATAATTGTATGATAGATGACCTTTTAGGTCAGCTTTAGTTTGTCAGTATTTGAAGAGGAATTAAATAGTTTATTTCTTATTTTCATATTGGCGTTTGAGTAGTGTGTCAAGAATGAACAAAGTGACCTAAACTACTTAAATATATAAAACCCCAAAATTAGATTAGATTAAATATACTTTTTATTGATCTCAATTTGGGAAATTTGAATTCAAAGTATAGTAGTATAGTATAGAGTATATCTATTGAATACACAATGTAAATATACAGAATTCAAGGCGTTGTACATTATGATAGGCCAGCATAACACAAACTCACAAAATGTCATATACAAGATACAATTTACAGTTAAGTTTGCAGAGTAATTACAGTTTTTAAATGACATTTAAATATATTCAAATGAAACATCAGAGTGGGATCTGGTTAAATGCTGTGACTTTAAACGTTCACCTTAATGTCATTAAGCTAGCGTCAAGGACCTCCATGAACCAGATTCAGTGTGTATCAAAGTTCAACTAACTGCGCCACTCTAAGTTTGTTGATCATTTAATTCCTCACTTACTTTATCAGCTATTATGTTTAAAATTCAAGCAGTGGTCCATTTCATTTCAGTTGCAGACAGACAGTAATGTCATCCATTTTCTCTGAACCCAGGGTAGTGGGTACACATCAGTTCGGGAACAAATCCCCAGCCTGCCACTGCACACAGGGAAAGTACTGAGTCACCCTCTGGTGGTAGCAGTGACTGATATACAATTACTGTGAGGATTAACCTCACATTTTCCATCATGCAACCCATCCTTAATCTAGTCCCAGCCAATAGAGTGGTGCAGGAATGAGTCCTAAAACCCGGAAATGAGTTAGCATTTCAGCACTTCCAGGGTTCCTCGTAGTCAATGTTTTTTTTAATTAATCAGAATTAGAAATACTTAAATAATTAGGGGGAAGCTGGTTTTTGTGACAGTTGTTCCATTATAGAATGAATAAAATAACTAATACAAATATAATGTACTATATAATAAAAGTAAGAATGTGCAATAAAAGATCAAATAAGATATATAAATTAGGTTTTAGTTAAGAATTAGGTTTTGGTTAGGTATCTGAAATAAGGTCTATGGTTAATTCAAGCTCACAAGATTTCCAGTTTTGTTCCATGATATAAAATGCGTCAGTGAATGCCTCACTCGTGAATACCTGAAGCTTTAACATGTTTAAAAATGTGCGGTTGCTAACAAGTGTCTTAAAAAGATTTCTAAATGTCATCCCACGGAATATTAGCCACCTTTAGCTTAGCAGAGGCACAGCCATGCTGCCGTGATGTAGTTTGTTTATAGCCTAACGTTAGCTTTTACTTCTGGCAGTTGGATTTTAGTGTGGAAATATCCCAGGGAGGGAGGCCTTGGCTATGATGCCTTCCGGGTCTTTCTACAAACATACATCATCTCTGCACCGCACTATGTAATGCTGTAAGACGCACGTTCAAACTAAATACAATATCAACAGGAAACAGCAGCATCAGCTGATCACGTCTGCAAATGCAAACATGACACATCATGGAAAAATAAACCTGTTTTGATATTCTTCACACCTGTAGGTGATTAGTGTGATGTTGTAAACCTCGGGTTGACTGGAATACACATTGCTCACAGTGCCAACAACATGAGAGGGAAGGAGGGAATTTTATTTGTCCAAATAAAATTCAGAGCATATTAAAGCAACCAAGGAAACTTGCACCAGTTATGACAATATAAATAGTTTTACATCTGTTTTTACTAGCACACCAGCATTGCTCTTGGTAGACGCCTTTATCACGACACAATAAACATTTAACAGACTGAAGTGTCTAAGTTAAAGTTAAAGCCTTTTATTGTCATTGTACACAGAGTATAACGAGATATAATAGGCAAGTGCCTTGAAAAGCTTAAAGTCCAGCCTGAATCATGAAGAACTGTATGCTGCATTTAGTTAAAGTAGTATTAAATGTGAAACCACAAAAGCTTTAAAGAAAAAAGAGCAGCTATAAAAGAAAAGAATGCCTTACAGAACAACATGTATCTTTCTTTGTATGTGTTTATGAACATTATACATACACTATGTCTATTAATGCTTTAGGAAACAAGAAAAAGATAAGAAACTAACAATGCATAGCAATGTTGAGAGAAATAGCAACAGTTGAATCACAACACAACAACAAACGATGTCACAAGTCAGGTTAGCCCATATTCAAATCCATATTTCAAAGGTTTAAGGTTAAAAACTTATTTTTAATTAATTCTCAAGGAGTTTTTTGTCCTACAATCCAAGTTGAGTGTTCCACAGTCTTAAACAAATAATAATAATAATAATAAGAACAAAATAAACAGCTTCATTCAAAAACCTAACAACATTCAAAATGTGTTGTGCTTTTTACTAAATTAAATGGTTCCAATGAATGCTATACAACGCTTTTATTGTTTTTGTTTTACTATAATTTGCACATCCCTCTACTTCATGTACAGAAGATGCAAAGATAAATAAAGTCATTTAAACCTGAAAGAAAGCGTCCATGGGTTTCTTAAGCGTCCATGGCTTTTTTGAAAGGAGCTATATCATTTCAAGTTATTATTATTATTATTATTAACAAAAGTATATTTGAGGTTATTATTCCTAAAACTGTAACTGCATACCTGGACTATAAACAACTCTGTTAATGGAGATATTACTACAGATTGCTGTTTGTGATGCCACCACTAGAGGGTGCACATCGACTGCTTTCCTCCTCAGTACTGTCATCATAGCTTGTAAAACTAATTGGTAATAGCAATCTAAAAAAATAAACCTTCGGTGGTTGAGGCGAGCCCAGAAACGCTGGAAAGTTTCCCCCCGAAGAAAGCCGAGCTGCGGCAGTTTGAGCCTCAAATCTTTCGCTGTGGATTTACTCTTAAAGGCTCAGCTTTGTCAGTGTCCCACTCACATCTCAGATCTCCTAATGCCTTATGAGTTGGAGGCCAGCCAGGGATTGTCTGGCAGGGCCCTTAAGGCAGAAAAAGCGGAGTTGATCAAGACCCTGCCGTTCAGACCCCTCTGCTTCCCCCTGCCTGAGGGGCTTACAGCGGCACAATGAGTGTCATCTCTTAAACCACCTCTTAAAGCTCATGGCAGGAGACAGCTTCCATGTCTTTTTCCCTTTCCCCCTTTATCTGAGGGCTTTGTTCTCTTTCAATGCTGTACACATATACGCGTCACATCTCTGTCACTAATAACCACCAGTGGAAGAAGTACTTTACTTAAGTCAAAGTAGCATTACTAGATTGTGACACATTACAAATACTCTGTCACAGGTGATGCATTCAAAATCTTACTTGAGTAAAGTTACAGAAGTATTGGAATCACAATATTCCTGAAATACTAAAAGTGCTCACTAGGCATAATGGCCGCTCTAAGATTCCTATACAATACAATCTTTTTTTTTAAATCATTTTATCTTTTACTTATTAACTTTTATACTATTGTTTATTATTTTCCCATTATTTTGAAAGAGGCTGATCATTGGAGAGTTTTTTTCTTTAAATCTTCTTGACAGTTCCTCAAATCCATTAGTCAATGTCCTCCCAGCCTTTTTAATTGTATAATAATGCATGTATCTCACTTTGACTGCAACATTTAAACATTATCTGAGGAGCTGCTGTCAAACTAATGTTTTTTATCCTTCCTTTAATATATTATTTACATTCATTTTTCCTAAATTAAATGAAGATATTCATTTATTGGTAACTTTACATACAGTATGAATTGTGATATGAATTGTGACCCTAACCCACTTAGCTGTTAAAGGGGGCGCTGGTTTCGATTAGCTTATAATCTGAATCTGTTAAGTAACTAAAGCTGCCAGATAGATTCGGTGTAGTAAAAAATGAAAGAATATATTTAAGAAAATTACATTTTATTTTTTGAAATGTAGTTAGGGTTGAAAATAAATACATTTAATTTGTTTTTTAAATATTTTATCTAAATTACCTCATGCACTAGTGCAATATCCAGTGGAGAAAGATATGTGAAAATATTGTTCTATTGAAATGTTTGTGTTGCTGCAGAGCAGTCACAGCCTACAGAAGGTATTCTACAGACTTAATTAAACCAAATCATTGTTTGGTACAGATCCTCTTTACATAAAAACAAATCACACTATGATCATTTTACTCTATATTTCTATGATAATGTTCAAAAATGATTATTCCCACTATGAATCATATTGTAATTCCAGTCAAGAATAATTGCAAATAGGGATTTATTTTCAAAAAGTGCAACCCTTAGTGGAGTATTAAAGGTCCCCTGTTATAATGTTCTTCATCAATATATTATATGTCTCAGATATATACAAATCATGTCTCTGAAGGGTTTGGCTGAAACACCAAACAGATCATTGCAGCATCCCATAATCCCCTCTGTTTCAGCCCTGTTTCCAAAGTGCTGATTCTCTGTCTGTTACTTTAGATGAAAATAAGGAGCCCCTCCCCACGCTCCTCTGAGAGATATTTGGTTACAAAGAACACACTGTGCTCTAGGAGGAGATTCAGGTGATAAGGTGGGGGGGGGTTACCTTGGTTGGTTGTTGGCTAATGGTTACACAAGCCAAAAAATCGTTATGACATCATAAAGTGGCCAGAATCTGATCGGCTCATTTTCAGACAGGTTTTTATATAAATGGATCAGGACAAAAAGTGAGTGAATCTTTTTTCCTGAAACTTTCAGAATCTCTTTACACAGAGGGGACACATGTTGATGTATAAAAGACATGAAAAAGTGGATTTTGCATAATAGGTGACCTTTAAGTAGTATAAATGCAAGTACTTGAATAAATGTACTTGATTCCACTAGTGCTAATAACCCCTCCTCTTCTTCTCAGATTGTGAGGAAGTTACACCAGTTCACCTACGATCTCTTCATCCAAGCTCAGTCCCTCCAGACGCGTGTCAACTTCCCAGAGATGATCTCCGAGATCGTGAGCGTCCATGTTCCCAAAATCCTCTCGGGCATGGTCAAACCCATCCTTTTCCACAACACAGCCTAGAGCGGTGTGGCTGAAGGGTGGGCTCGTGATTGTCCTTTATGTCACTTGAGCTTCAACCACTTCTGGGAAAAGCTTAAATGGCTAGAGAGGGTTAATAATTTCATGAGGTGTAAGCCTTTTTTTGAACCTACAGGGTGACAGTGGAGCACAGTGAAGCTAAATGAAGTGCATTCAGCACATTCTTCCAATCTTATTGCATCTATTCTGTTCTCCTACTGCCTGATATCTGTATGAAATGTCTCGTTTTTTAGCATGACTTCCTCCACACAGGCTAAACACCTGGCATGTAAGACTTCTTCTTCCTCTTCTTCTTCTGCATATATATATAACCGACAACAGGTTATGTTTAATTTCAGGAGGGGAAAACCCTGTTTTCAGAGTTCACATCATTGTAGCCTGTCTGTGTGCAGTGGTATGACATTTGGATTAGCTTTTTAACAATGAATGTTATTGTGCGCACCTGAGATGATCACATTTGATTGACAGGTAATAAACCGTCGCGGCATGCATGCTAAGAGGCAACGCTGTCTCGCCGGAGTATAAAAACATGTCTGAAAGCTGTTCGCATCCCTAGACATAATAGTCGACTAATGGTTTAGGCGGAGGCAACACACACACTCTTTTTACACCGTGAGTGACTACAACGTTTCAATTGTATATTTATGAATTTTGTGATTTTAAATAAGCTCGCACTGAAGAAAGTATTTTGACCAAATAGTTGCGAATGACTCATCAGTCAACTAACTATTGGTGACTTTGTTTTTGCTTGTTTTTAAATGTCAAACATTATCCATTTTTTTCCAAGATGGACATTTCATACTGTTGCAACTTTTCTACAGTTTTCTTAAAAAGTGTTCTTTGCAAAGTGCTCTGTTGTGAATCATCATCCAGTATCCATTGTAGCTTTTCTTCCCGCGAAACGATAAAAAGGTCCAGCCAAAAATCTGCTCATTTGTTGCAATACTTACAGCTTAATATGGAATAATAAACAACTGAAGCATGAGTGTGTGTGTTATTAATAACGAGTGCAGAGTGGGAGGAAATGCACACGGTTTGCATTACGGCACAAATCTGAGTGCATGCTAATGGTAATACACATATTCCCTGTCTGATATGTTACATTTCACTCTGATAAGCAGTAAAGTGAACAGACAGGCTTTTAGAAAACATCAGACAGACATATTTTCTGCCAGTGCATTACACACCCTCAGGATTATGGCATTCTGCACCCGGCCAGGTAATAGATCTCAGCAGGAAACTAGAACATATCATACTCAAACAAGAAAGCCTGGCAGATTTATTTCTCCCATTCATCCTAGAGGAAACAGCCATGTCTGCTGATCTGGCATCAGTAATGGCAGCCTGTGTTTTAATACCATCTAGTGGCTGCTGTGGAATCTGCAGCAGAGAACTGAGACCCAGCAGAAGCAACATCTGCTGGATCCATTCGCATTAGCTCGGTAATGTAATTGGACACGGATTTGCTCAATGTTTGAACAGGGTTACCATTAAATGGTCAGAGTCACGAGATGGGAGGTCATGGCAGTAAAGGGGAGAGTAAATAAAGAATGTGTTTCAATTAGAGGCGTAAATCGGGGTTAAATAGAGAAAACTTAAGGAGGCTCTACGGGGGAATGGAGTAAAAACAAACAAATATCAACTATTCATGTTTATTATTCATACTATGGCAATTATTATTTGATATCATTAATTGTCTATGTGGCTTTTAACATGCAAATCAGGGATTATCTTATCACATATGTTCACAATTGGTTGTTTTATTTTGTTGACATATGAGTGTCAATTTATAAAGTTGCGGTGGGAGTTTTGGATATCTCTTTTTATCACTCCATAAATCCTAGAAATACTGTCAGCAGCCATAAAAAACTATTTCCTCCATGTTTTTAGGAATAACATGTTCCATAAATCAGACTATACATAGACAAACAAAACTTTTAAAATAGAATTACGAATTAAACTGCGCATTTGGTAAACGTTCCTATGTGGAGATTTACGAGTCAAAGTATGAGAAAAAAACTATTTTGACTAAATATTGTAAAATGTCATATATTTTGCAAAACACAAAAAAACGTATTGAAATGTTTAACTAAAAAATCACCATGACATTTCCTCATTTCCCCAGTTGATATGCAATAAGATTAATTATTTTGTATAACAAGTTTTCTGATTTTTTTTTAAATAAGAAATTCAAGCATAATTTGACACTAAAATGATGCTTACATAATGCATTTAAAAATATACATTTACTTTTTTTGTGAATTTAAGAGAAATGTACAGACACAAACAAAATGTATTAAATAAAACACCTAAAAAAACATTAAAAATTGAACAGTGATGGGAAAACGATGTTTCTGCCTTGCACTAATAGATCATCTGCAAGCTAAAGCTTAATTTGATTAGAATATGAAATATATATATTTTCTTTTTAAAATTGGTTATAGAAAATGAAATCACTCAGGGAAAATCATGTTTTTTTTACATCATTAACAAATGTCTGTAGGGCTAAAGAGACGATGACATATCTCTGAGAGCTGGTTTATTTTTACATCTCATTAAAATAGCCCTGTACTGTAAAGAGCAGTCTGTCTGGGTAACCTCCACCGCCATTTTAACTCCCATTTCCTGAACAACCTCTTTCAACAAGTTATTTGTCCCTCTCATAAATTAATTGGAGCTGAACGAAGTTTGGGATTGAAAGACATGCTGAAATATCACTTAATTCTAAATATATTCCACGCCGCACATGCCCCTCTGACTCTGACCTTAAAAGGAATGGTTTCTTGTAGGTTTTTTTGCAATGATCAAAAATGTATGTGTTGATGTCGACATTTGAACTTAGCTCAGATTCCATTTGATTTCGGTGTTTTCTCCCGGTCTGCTCTGCATCAATATTACATGCCTACTCTTGCAGAACAAGGGTTTTTTCTTCTGCTGGTAACGGTAAACCACAGAAAGCACAAACACACTGGCCACAAACAACAAAAAGTTGAAATGATTTCCTGATGTGGAAGTTAAGGAAATGGAAGAAATTCAATGTGCCTTTGAATGTGAGAGTATGACAACAGAAAACAACTCAAAATGAAAACTTAAGAAACCCACATTATCCAAGCTGAAATGGAATTGAAATGTGCACAATACTTCTTTCAACCTCACCTAAAAGTCCATCAATAATGTCTTTAACACCAGGTTACTCACAGCTAGAGTGACCGGAAAACAATTAGATTGTGGAGGTGGTAAGATGACACCCCTGAATGGGTTGTTTCTGTGGCCTGTCTAATGGAGGGCGATTCCTACTCAAGCACTAGTCCATTAACAACCAATTAACTTCCTATTAATATTTTACCAGACAGGGCCCCTCTTCTTGACGTGTTTTAAGGAGCTTTTCCCAGGAGTGTTTGAACATGAGCAGCTTTTAGCGCAGCATAAAGAGGCCTGTGTAATGGGCTGAAGGAGGAGGACAGGCAACCTGATAGCACTGAGAGCATGAGGAGGGGAGAGAGGGAGAGAGGGGAGAGAGGAGAGGAGACAGACTTCTGCAGCTGGCCCGCCACCAGGCCAGGCCCCGAGCCGAGCCAGGACCCGAACACACACGGCAGGGATAGGAAATGCACGACTTTAAGGCCATGACACGAGATCAGAAACGAGTGGTTACATTTTGTTGAGCTGCAACTATCGACCAATCCATTATTGTATCAACACAACAAATATCAACAGATATTTTGAGGGCTTTTTGATTAGAAATGGCAGAAAATGCTGATTCCATTCTCTTAAATATGGAGATTTCCTGCTTTTCTGTGTTTGTGAAGAGTTATCTTTGGGTTTTGGAGTGACAAGACAGCTAATGACAGCATCTTGGACTATTTTGGGACATTTAGGATAAGATAATTAGGGAATGTCTTGGGTCACAGCAGCATGTTAACAAGGCATTGCAAAAGTGGAAATGGAAAAGAGTAGAAAATAAACAAAGATAAACAGTAAATATAAACATCTCAGAGAAAATAAAATAAATATAAAATATATGTACATATTGACAATGAAAGATATATATCTGTCGTATATACACTAGGGCCATCCAGCCTCGGACACCCCACCAGGGGAGACCCCCTCGGGGGAGCAGGAGTACAGGTTTTAACCCTTTGAGCCGCTGCTCTCTTCTATCCCTTTTATTGCATTTTTTTAATTTAATTTAATTTTTTTAACACAGACCAAACAGGGCTTTTATAAACCTTTATTGGTTTTATTACAGGAGTTTTTTAATAGGTTTTTTTTTTTTTTAAATGTACCCGAGAGCCCATGCACCACACGCTGCGCTCCTATGGAGCACTCCCCAAAACCCTAACCCTAATCATTTTCTCTATCTTACAGTACACAGTAATTAGTCTACTGTAGATCATTTCATTTTACTTTCTGTTTCATCTAAGTACATAGTTTACTTACTTACTGGATTTTAGTTGCATAATTGTATCACAATATTTTATGGCACTGTTTTACTTCCGTATTACTTTATTACTAGCTATTACTGAAGTATATTGCATGTTGCACGGTCAACGGGGCCTGGAACTAAAGATGTTCCATTGCCAACCACTACACTAACTTATATGACAACAACCTTTGACATTGTGACATTTATAAATCTAACAATGAGAAATGTTTCACCAGATTAATCGATACAGAAAAAAAAACTTTAGTTGCAGCCCCTAGCCATGTTTTGAGTGTAACTTTGTTTTTAAAAGTCCAAGGTGTTCCTGATGAGTGTTTTTTCTTCTGGATTGCAGCAGAACAGCAATTTTGCCCTGGGGCTTCAACATAAAATAAGTGTTAAAACAGGAATATCCACCTTGCTCCTGCTCTGCCCTGAGCTTTGTGCTGTGTAAGGCTGGTTTGGGTGGACATTTTAAACGAGTTCAGGGAAACTCCCTGCCTCGAGACAAAAAGAAAGCGCGAGAGGGAGAGAGGGAGAGAGGGAGGGGGAGGCAGAAAGTAAGAGAGAGAGAGGCCATTATGACTATAGCCCGAGGCTACTCCCAACGGATAAGGCATTTGTCTTCACTTGAAAGTATGATTTATTTTTCCACCAGTCAGAAGGGTTATGTTTGTCACCGCACACTGAAAGGACTTTTTGGAAATAGCAGCAGAAGCAGAAATGGAAAAAAGAAAGAAAGAAAACGTCTAATGCACGCTTCCTCGTTTCAAAGACTTCCCTTCTATGGTTACCTTGTTTGAGATCACTTTCAGTCCTTATTAACTTTAGTTAATCATACTGAACCTTGTGTCTAATTTATCAGCAGGAGTAGTGTGTGTGTGCTGATGATTAAGAGAAAGAGGGGAATGTGGGAAGGAGGGGTGGGCGGGGGAGAAAGATGTGGTTGTATCAGGTTCCCTCCACTGGGTGTAGATGTGGTCTTAGATTTCTCTCTGGGCTGCTGATTAACTGTGCGCGCGTGTGTGTGTGTGTGTGTGTGTGTGTGTGTGTGTGTGTGTGTGTGTGTGTGTGTGTGTGTGTGTGTGTGTGTGTGTGTGTGTGTGTGTGTGTGTGTGTGTGTGTGTGTGTGTGTGTGTGTGTGTGTGTGTGAGCTGGGAGTGCACCGAGGAGAGAGGAACTTCAGCTTTAATTTCCCCCAGCTCCAGATATTACACCCCCGCGCTCCCTGTTTTTATTGGAACAGAGACCAAAAAACACCAAGTGTTTATGATGCATTAAAACATGGTGGGGAACTCGAGTGTGGAATTGTAAATCTATACATTTGGCTGTGTCTCTTCGACGCAGAATTAATTCCTTTACGGAGGATTCTGTGTGTTTTACGAAGACTGATGATTGCAACGCGCCATGAAATCATATTTATACAGAGATTGGAGAGAAAATTCTCCAGCGGTCGAGGAGGGGGGAAATAGAGGGAAATCGACTGAAGCAAAAAAAAAAGGGGGAACATGGGAGGTGGGAGGAGTCATTTCAGGGGGCGAAGCACAGGAGGAAGGAATTAT